GCCGGGCCCAGTCCCAGGCGGGGCGGGAAGCCGGCGGGGCGGGGCCAGGCCTCCCTCTCGCAGGCCCGTCCGGAGCCCAGGTTGCCCGCGCCCGGTTCACGCGGGGGCCTGAGCCGACGCGGGGGGCCTGAGCCGACGCGGGGGGCCTGAGCCGACGCGGGGGGCCTGAGCCGACGCGGGCCTGAGCCGACGCGGGGGGCCTCAGCCGACGCGGGGGGCCTGAGCCGACGCGGGGGGCCTCAGCCGACGCGGGGGGCCTGAGCCGACGCGGGGGGCCTCAGCCGACGCGGGGGCCTGAGCCGACGCGGGGGCCTCAGCCGACGCGGGCCTCAGCCGACGCGGGGGGCCTGAGCCGACGCGGGGGGCCTGAGCCGACGCGGGGGCCTGAGCCGACGCGGGGGGCCTGAGCCGACGCGGGCCTGAGCCGACGCGGGCCTCAGCCGACGCGGGGGGCCTGAGCCGACGCGGGGGGCCTCAGCCGACGCGGGGGGCCTCAGCCGACGCGGGCCTCAGCCGACGCGGGGGGCCTCAGCCGACGCGGGGGGCCTCAGCCGACGCGGGGGGCCTGAGCCGACGCGGGGGGCCTCAGCCGACGCGGGGGGCCTCAGCCGACGCGGGGGCCTCAGCCGACGCGGGCCTCAGCCGACGCGGGGGCCTCAGCCGACGCGGGCCTCAGCCGGTGCGGGGGGGCCTGAGCCAACGCGGGCCTGAGCCGACGCGGGCCTCAGCCGACGCGGGGGGCCTGAGCCGACGCGGGGGGCCTCAGCCGACGCGGGGGGCCTCAGCCGACGCGGGCCTCAGCCGATGCGGGCCGGGCCTGAGCCCACGCGGTCCTGAGCCCACGGCGGGCCGGGCCGAGCTGATGCGGGCTCTGAATGACACGGGCCGGGCCTGAGCTGACGTGGGGCCGAGCCGATAGGGCTCTGAGCGGATGAAGGCTCTGAGCCGATGCGGGCTCGATGCGGGCTCTGAGCCGGTGCGGGCCTGAGCTGGCAGGGGGCCTGAGCTGACGCGGGCAGGGCCGAGTTGACGCAGGCCCTGAGCCGACACAGCGGACACCGGGGTCCTGGGGGAGGGGGAGGGGGGTCAACAGGAACAACTGGAATACTCAGATCTCTGGATCACCAGGCGTCCACAGCTTTGGTGGGCTGAGGGCCATAGCACACTGGGTTTTGCTTCTCTACCATGTCTGCATTGCCTCCAGCACACCTTGGTACACAGACAAACTGGCTCCCCATTGCATCTCCAAGAGGAGGGCCTAGGGGTGCAGGGACAGACCGTGGCCAGACTGCCTTTCTGCCACAGCAGACGAGGAGCCAGCCAGAAAACAGCACAGGAGAGCCTCTCATGACAGTCTCTGTTTCCGCACACACCACCTTCTCTCAGATCTTTGCATAAGGTCCTTGGAACAAAAAATAGCCCAGCCAGGCCCGACCCCTGCCCCTGGACAGCCTAGACTGGGGTCTAGGGGAGGGTCTGTTAGGCCCCTGGTGCCTGTACTCTGCCCTTGAAGAGGGCTCTCTTTCCCATGGATCCCACCCTTGCCTCCTGGGCCAGGGCCAGCAGTCTGTGAGGGACACCAAGGGGTGAGGGCAGAGGAATCTAACGAAGACCCAGGACATGCCCCTGAGTGGCAGTGCTCGGCCTCTGCACCTTCCCCTTGTAGGGATGGGACATGAACACACCAAGAACACACATCTCCACATACACATGTATGTATGTGGGACTGGGCTGCCCTCCAGGGGTCGCTGGGGCCTCAGGCCCCAGCAGTGGCTAAGACCCATGGGAGGGCAGCCCGGTGATTTGCAGGACTAGCCCACATTCAAGGTGCTTCCCCCTGCTGTGTACCCCTCCTGGTAGGGCCTCACCTTCATGAAGACCCCAGGAATAAACCCAGGTTGCTGACCCTGGAAACCATCCCGGTCACAGGATGGAGGGGCCGTCAGCAAGGCTGCTGGGAAGAGGCGATGGGAGGACGCTGCTGTGTGGCTGGTCCCATCTTCAAGATCAGTCTGCCCTGCTGCCAGCTTCCAGAGGACACAGGTGGGCCTGGAAGCACCCTGTGCCGCGGCCTCAGCTCCCCATCTGATTTCCAGGGTCACAAGCTTCCCGCACGCTCACCAACCTTCTCCAGTGTAGACTGGCTCCACATGAAAAGACCCGCACACAGTGGGGCCGCCTTGTGCCCCTGATGTGTGAAGTGACGGAAATCCACAGGCCAGCAGGGAAGCTCGGCTGAGTCCGTTCCCATCCCAGCACAGACTGCTGAGGACGGCGGGCAGTGTGGCCCACTGTCAGTGTGTCCAGGGGGGGCCCTGCTGGCTGTGCCCCAGCTAGCCAGTGATCTCCAAAATAGAAATGGTCCTAGAACATGTCAGCCTTGAGGAGGGTCTGTACCTAGACCTGTGCCCAGTCCCTGGTGCCCCTTGGCCTTCAGCCCAAACCCCCATATCCCAGACCCCACTCCTCCAAACCTATACCACCCACCCTGCCCTACACTTATGCCACCAGCATCTTGTCTCTCCCCAAGCCTGTGCCCTCCCCCTCTACCGCCCCCCAAACTTGTACCACTCTTCCTTCCCCCTACCCCAAGCCCATACCTGAGGCCCAGCCCACTCCTCCCTCTTCCACCAGTCCACGTGCTGACTCCTCTCGCCCCCCCCCCCCCCCCATCCACAGTCATGGACTCGGTTGCTCCAGGGTACATTCACTCAGCAGCCACCAAGCGTGCAGCTGGTGACATTTTAATTGTGAAGCAATTACCTCTACAGACATATGCCTTCATTTAAAAAAAATAGACATCTTCAAAGCATCTCAGAGGCTAAAGAGCTAAGCAGGAGTCTGAATGCTCAAGAGTCTCTGAAGGAAAGCTGAGGTGGAGCAACACTGACTCCACCAGCCGCAGCCAAGCCCCATTAGCTGTCAGGGAGTCTTTGCTGACCAGACAGCCACAGCATGCACACAGAAGCAACCCCTTCCACCCAGCAGAGGGAAAATGCCGCTGTGGGAGGCATCTAGAACATTCTGGTCTAGGAGCTGACAGGTCAGCACAGGGCTGTTGAGTGCCGTGCAGCCTCATGGCAAACAGAGAAAGAGAACACAGTAACAGATTTCAAGCCAGCGGCTCCCGCCACCCCAGACACAGCCGACAGCTGTGGAACACTGGTCTCCAGCAGCCGAGACCTGCTCTGTCCAAGGAGCCACAGGCCACCAGGCAAGAAGACCTGGGGAGACTGGATGGTGGGCCGGGGTAGAGAAGATTACGGGGCCTGTGGCCCTTCCAGGGGACCAAGAGCCTGGTTCAGGGCTGGGCCAGTATTTTCTGAGAGGACGAGGATTGCCATTTCCATCAGCTTAGAAACACGCCGGCCAGCCCGGGCTTTGAGATGTGCTCTCACCATCCTGGTGACAGCTGAAGGTGAAGGAAGAGCAGCCCTGGCCCCGGGCACCCAGCACCCCAGGCAGACACTGGCGGAGAGACCAGCACCTGGTCTCCGTCGGCCCACCCGCTCTGTGCTGCCCACAGCAAGGCAGGCCCGGGAACACAGGCGGCTGGCCAGCACCAAGCCAGGGTGACATGTCCCTGTCTCCCCTGGACAGCTCACAAGGCCTTGGCGCTGACAGGATGCACTGCATGGGGCACCGGCTTCTGAGGGTGCCGGGCAAAGGCGTAGGCCTGGCCCAAGATGGCTAGGTCCACCAGCACCTGCAGCAGCCCACAGACAGAGAACTGCAGGGGTGCGCCGTTGAGCAGAAAGTAGGCTGTTTTGAAGGTATCGCCACTCGTCCACATGAGCACCATCTTGAGACTGTGAGAAAACAAGGAGGTCAGCACTCACCCAGGGGGCCAGGGTGAACCAGAGGGGGGGAGGGGGCCACACCAGGAAGGGGAGGATGAAGCACAATCTGAATCAGACTTGTGTTACCTACCTAAGCCACTGGCTCAGAGAGAAGAGAGCACAGGGCCTCGGGTCTCCAACCCCACGAGAACCACAGCACAGCTTAAACAGCCTGGCTTCAAGGACACCAGAGCCTCACTGTCAGACAGCCTCTCCCCCAGGCTCCTCCGTCCCAGCTAACAGCACCTCACCAGATGCTGAGGATGCAAACCAACAGAGAGGCCAAGGTGTCCCACACAGTGGGAAGCTGCTGCCTCGGGCCTCCTCCCAGCTAAGAGGGAAGGAAATTTCCATGAGCAGAAACAGATGGGAGCTTTTCCTTTGAGCATGTCTGGGTATCATTCCTCCTCTGCACTTGGCCAGGTGCAGCCAACACAGGCATGACTTTTCTCACACAAATCTACTTGCAGGGCCCACGAGCCAGTTAGCTGCAGAGAAGGGTGTGCGCCAGCCCCCGGCAGGGGGACCCTGGGATGGTCTGCATGCTCAACTGCCTCCCCCCACCCCAATGTGTCACCCCTTGGCGCATGCCTTCTTTCCTGGCAGAGCCTGGGGGGAAAAATGAAGTGTGGCTCAAGTGGTAGAGCACCAGCCATGAGCAAAGGCTGTGCAAGAGTAAAAAGGCTGAATGACAGTGAGAAGCCTTGTGTTCAAGCCCAGTACTGGTGGGTGGGTGCATGCATGCGTACGTACATGCATACATACATTCGTGCATGTGTGTGTGCATATGCATGTACACACACACATACAACCTGTGGAAAAACTGTCTCAATCAACCCCAGCATGCCATTTTAGGTGCCCAAGGAAGACCAGCACAGAGCCCCAGCCTCATACTGCTCAGAGCAGAGCAAGGACTCCACCGATCTGGGGCACCTACCTCATGCCTTCTGTGGAGCGGTGGCAGTGGTTCCGGTACAGTTGCGGCACGCCCAGCATCGCTTCGGTCAGCACAGCAAAGAAGCCCAGCGTCTCCACAAACAGGGCAGAGTCGATGGACAGGTAGGTGATGTAGCCGGCCACGCCCGCGAAGGCCAGCACACACTGCACATAGTCTGCAAAGCTGCTCCAGCGCCAGAAATGGTGAGGGTCGAGGTCTGGGGAGAGAGAGTCATCTCAGCTAGGCAGGCAGGCTGGGCGCAGGCAGCCCCATACACGGCTGAGATGCGGATGCCAAGTTGGTGTGTGCAGAGGGGCAGCAAGAGACCAGTGTGGGTGAGGTCAGCCTGGGTTCACCAGCAAGGTGGGCTCAGTAGAGGGAGAGATAGGAACCAGGAACAGGTTGAGCTTAGTGTGAGGAAACTTGACAGGCAGCGGTGCAGGCAGCATAAGGAGAGGTGGTGGTCGTGGCCAGTGTGAGGACACGAGGTCAAGGTCGTGGTCAGCGTGAGGACACGAGGTCAAGGTTGGTGGCAGGATGTGAGAGTCAGTGTAGTGAGATGCAAGCTGAGTGTGTTCTGATCAAAGCATTAAGTAATCATTTTGGTTGGAGTCTATGTAACCCAGGCTGGCCTTGAACTCTTGATCCTCCTGCCTCTGCTTCTTGCGTGCTACGGGATTAAGGGCGTGTGCTACCACCCCAGCCTGTTAAAGGACCTACTATAAACTCAACACGAAAGGTGCTGGAATTCTTTACCCTTCATTTTAGTAGTTCTGGGAAACACTATAGTGCGACTAAGACTGATAGGGAGCCTCTGGAGGGCCCCCCTGGTTAGAACTCCTGAATCTGAGTTAAGCTCGTGCCTTGGATGTGGCTCACGTGCAATAATAGTGGCTCCCACCTCCGGGGGGCTCACACGCAATAATAGCAGCTCCCACCTCCTGGGGCGATCCTGCTGACTGCCGTGACAAGCGTGCGTCTGTGGGAAGGCTCCATCCCTAAACAGTTGCTATCCCTGCACAACTGCCAGAGTGGGGTCTTTCCCCACATGGCTTGCACAGAAACCACTAACACCAATGAGTGGATTATCCTGCCCTGGCTCACTCGAGGGAGAGTTTAGAGTGTGCAGAGGCAGTCCGAAGAACCCCCAGGAGTAGCAAAAAGCCTGCAGGGAGCCAGACAGACCGGCTTTGAGGGCTCAAGCTCAGAGCTGCAGAGCTCTGCGGGTGGGGTGCAGGTGGATGGGGGGGGGGGGGGGCGGCGAAAGACTGGACTCCTGGGTTCCTTCTGGACTCTCCCAAGCCTGAATTGTTTTGTGAGGATATTTTTAGGACTGGGCTCTCAACTGGGGGTTGAATCTAGGTCTTCATAAATGTTAGACAAACTTTCGACCACCTACAAGCTCTCTCACATTCCAACTCTGAGTGCATTTTTAACAAACAAAGCTTCTACCAGGTAATGGCGTGAAAAGTAGGTGTTCTTTCAGGTTCTGACTGCAATAGAACTGCAGCTCTGGGTTTTTCAGAGTTCAGCCTGTCCCAGGAGTGGCCCCTCTGCATCCAAACAGTACAAGTAAATCCCCGTGAATCTCTCTCTGCCAAATGTGGTGGGCAGGGGTCCTAACTTCAGGTACTCAGAATTAACACGGGAACAGAGGCTGATGCTACCCAGAAATGTATGATGAAGTCCATCTACTATTATAAAAGAAAGAAGATCGAGCTTGAAGAATCACAGCAAGAACGCACCCTCCACATTATCTGCCAGGTGGCATTTTTTGTGCCTCACATACCATCCAGCATGGGGTCTGCTACCCACCTTATTTCTCAAGCTCCAGGTTGCCACCCACCTCCCCACAGCCTAGCCCCTGAGTAATTCCAAGGCAAAGATCTGCCTTCCTGGAGTTCCTGCCTCCACCTGGGCAGAGTGCAGGCGCCCAGGCAGCTTACCAATCTGAAGGTGAAGCCAAGACAGGGCAAGTCCGGCCGGGGGCTGAAGCCCTGTGAGGGCCAAACACAGGCCAGGCCCTCGAGCTCTCAGTTCCCATCTGTGTGGGCTTGGCTAGCTTTTCTGCTGTGTGTCCCACATGCCCAGTGCTGCCATTCCCAACCCCGGCTCATCCTTGCTGTGGCTGGCAGGGTGGGTTCAGGGCTTCTCCCAGGTGAGTGAGCCAGGGCAGAGGTGTCAAAGGCAGAAGAGCTCACTCACTGCGGCCTCCATCCCACCACTCTATCACCTCTCCTTCACTCCTAGCCTGCAGGGAGAGCTAACTGCAGGCTTTCAGAGGCCAAGCAAATTGATGGCTGAATTTCTGCCTCTGGATGAGGTAGGCTGAAGCCAACAGACCCATGTGCCATCTGAATGCTAGCACTTGTGTCCAGGGACCCAGAAGTGGGAGCAAGGGCCTGGATGGAGGGTGCCTCCTGTCCATCCATACCTAGAGGCTGGACGGAGGATGCCTCCTGTCCATCCATACCTAGAGGCTGGACGGAGGCTGCCTCCTGTCCGTCCACACCTAGAGGCTGGATGGAGGATGCCTCCTGTCCATCCATACTTAGAGGCTGGATGGAGGGTGCCTCCTGGGCCCATCCACACCTAGAGCCTAGAGGCTGGACGGAGGGTGCCTGATGGGCCCATCCACACCTAGAGGCTGAGAGCAGGCTGGAAGAACACAGGAAGGCTGACTCTACAATCTAGCTTTACTTCCTAGAGACAGAAAAGCTGAGAAAAGCTTGAAAGAATAAAGACGATTTAAATGTCACTTAGATTTCTAGGGGGTGAGGAAGTAAATGCTCCATTGGCATGACCTGCAATAGCACAAAGACAAATGGCTAGTTAGGCGGAGTAGCTCACATTTGTAACTGTGACTGCTTTTAGGGGCAGAGATCAGACTGCAGGACACAAACTTCCAAAAACAGCAGGGCCTGGTGGCACACCCACTACCCAGGAAGCACAAAGTAGGAGGACTACAGTCTAGGAGAGCCTGGGAAGGAAACGTGAGGCTGTTTGAAAAATAACCATTTTTTTTAGAAAGCTGAGGGCTGGGACTGTGGCTCAGTGGTGAGTGCCTGCCTGGCAAGCATAAAGCCCTGAGTTCAACCTCCAGGACTGTCAGAAGAAAAATTAAAACGGACCAGGTACCAGACAGACATGCCTCCAAAGAAGACAAGGGCCAAGAAGCGCAGGGAACAATGCTCAGCATTGGTGGTGCTGTGGTGGCTATCCATCACACCACTTGAGAGAAGAAACGAAGCAAGTCCAAGCAGGAGTTTCCGACCTTCACCAGCCGATTCCTGCGCACCCATCCCAGAGATGCCATCAACCACTAAGCACAAGACAGCCCTGCAAGGGGTGAGGAGGCGCGTCTGAGTCTACTGCAGCCCACGGGCCCCCTCATGTGGCCACACTGGGGGAAGCAGGAACGGGCAAGGTGGTCTGAAGTGCCCTGTGGAGGAGGGCTGGCCTCTCTCCCCGGCCTCCTGCCCAGTGGCAGACCCTAAGACTACAAAGATAAACCTCAGAGACAGTAGGTGGATTTCACAGGAGCAAGGCAAGACACAGAGCCTCTGTAGGCCCTCCCGCCTCAACACCATGAGCTCCTGGGAGGCACCAGGGCCTGCGGCCCACCCACGTCAGCCCTGTCAGGGCCAGCAGAGGGCCTTGCCCTGGGATGACCACTGGCTTCCAACCACAGGTACCGGAGGTCAGGGATGCTCATGACCATGGAGAGGCCTCCTGGGAACAGTGAATCAAACAGCACCAGCACAAAGCAGGCCCCACAGGGCAAGCTGTTGAGGTCCATGCTAGAGGAGAGTGGGTGTCCTGCCAGTGCTACCTGGCAAGCAGAGCCACTTGCAGATAAGGGCCCACTTCTGACTCCCACAGCACCCATGCATCGCCACTGCCAACACAGTGAGAGAGGGTCTCTCATTGCCTGATGGTAGCCTGCCTGCCTCCTGCTCACAAACAACCTTGTGGACTGAGGAGTCAGAAGCCAGCAGCCACTTAGGATCCACATCTTCATTGGGGAATGTGGGGTGAGAAGAGAGTTTACACCGGAGCTTCTCCAGATCCAGACACTGAAGGAGCCAGACCATCTTGAAGACTGTGGGAAGCGGTCCCACAGTCCAGACAAGGTCAGCTCCAGCAGCACAGAGTGGCACTCATCTACCTGTGGGGAAGACACTCCCAGGAGCAAGGGGTGCCGAGGACATCAGATCCCCAACCAGATACCATCTGGGATACCCAACATGACAATGGAGCCGTGCATCCAGGACACGCAGTGATGATGGAGCCGTGCATCCAGGACACCCAGTGATGATGGAGCCGTGCATCCAGGACACCCAGTGATGATGGAGCCGTGCATCCAGGACACGCAGTGATGATGGAGCCGTGCATCCAGGACACGCAGTGATGATGGAGCCGTGCATCCAGGACACGCAGTGATGATGGAGCCGTGTACCTAGGGCACCTGAAGCAATGGTGGAGCCATGCATCCTGGACACCTGACATGACGATGGAGGCATGTATCTGAGACACTTGAAGTGACGATGGGAGCTGTGCATCAGAGGCACCTGCTGTGATGGTAGAGCTGTGCATCCTGGACACCTGACATGGAGCTAGGCATCCAGGACACTCGATATGATGGAGCTGTGCATCCCAGGCACCTGATGTGAGGATAGAGCTGTGCATCCTGGGCACCTGGTACATCCCAGGCACCTGACATGATAGAGCAGTGTATCCCAAACACCTGACATGATGATAGAGCTGTACATTCCGGATACTTGATGTGATGATGGAGCGGGCATCCTGAGCCCCTGACGTGATGATGGAGCTGTGCATCCCAGGCACCTGACATGATGATGGAGCTGTGCATCCCAGGCACCTGACGTGATGATGGAGCTGTGCATCCCAGGCACCTGACGTGATGATGGAGCTGTGGATCCCTGGCACCTGACGTGATGATGGAGCTGTGCATCCCGGGCACCTGACATGACAGACCCAAACTAGCTCACATGATTCTGTCCAACAACCAGAATATGGAAGCATATCCACACTCTTCCTACTGTATCCTTAAGCCAGACAGAGACAGGCAGCGATCTGGCCATGGACTGTAGCAGCACAAAGTCCCCATGGTGGCAGAAGATATCTCTAAGCCAAGCACAAAGTCCCCATGGTGGCAAAAGATATCTCCAAGCCAAGCACTGGTGGCTCACTCCTTCAATCCTAGCTACTTGGAAGGTAGAAGCTAGGAGGATAGTGGTTCAAAGTCAGCCTAGACAGAAAAGTCCCAAGACCATTTCTCAATCCATGGCTGGGCACCATGATGTGCCCCCTCACCCCAAGCTCTGTGGAAGGCTGAGGTTAGAAGGCTCTTGGTATCAGGCAGCCCAATGAGAAAAGTCTGTGAGACTCCATCTCCATGAGGGAGAGCTGGATACAGTGACACACCTAGGATGTGTCATCTCCCATCAGAGATGATGGGAAGACTAGAGTAGGCAGACTGTGACTGAGGTGCACACCTACACACAGTGAGATCCTACCCTACAACCAACCAGTAAGAAATGACAATGGAGGCATCACCTGTGGTACGCCAGCCCAGCAATCTCATCTTGAGGAGGGGAGAGGAAGGGAATGAGAGGGAGGGAGGGAGGGAGTGCAGAGGCTCGGGGAGTGGCTGTCCAGGTGCAGCCAGCATCTTCCCTCTGCCTCCCCAACCCGCTCTGGGAAGACATTACACCGCAGGGGCAGGGCCAAGGTTCTGGGTGCCCATCATCCTGGTTCCAGTGTGCACAAGGAGGATAGGAGCTCCACATCAGAAGGAAGGGACAGATTGAGAACAGGGCCCATCTTCAGCACAGGGTGTTGTCCTGGGGGCGCTGCTGCCCTGGCCTCCAGGTCCAGAGCAGTGTCAAGAGCTCCACCCTGGGTGTGGGGATGAGCACCGAGAGCGGCAAGGCAAGGAACAAGCTCGTAGAGCCTCCAGGGTGCTGACAAACTGTGAGGAAGAAGAAGCCAGTAACCTCCGTGTCCAGTGACACAGAACCAGGAAGTGGGCAGCTAAGACATTTTGAAAGAAGAGCTGTGATCAATGACCATCTCTGTTCACTGTGGTGCAGGGCCCAGCTGCAGCAAGACCAATCATCAGAGCAAACACTATCGGCATGGAGGGCAAGGGCTGGAGCACAACAACAACCGGAGCACAACACCCAGAACTTAAAAGGGATGAGGCATCAGGGAAAGCCAAAGCCAGCCCAGCCCGTCAGAACTACCTGCTGGTGGTCAGGCTCAGAATCTCCCATCCAACCACTGTCCCGTCTAACCACTGTCCCAGCCGCTGTCCTGTCCGGCCACTGTCCCGTCCAGCTGCTGAAGCCACTATCCTGTCCACCACTGTCTCATAAAGCCACTGTCCCACCCAGCTGCTGTCCCATCCAGCCACTATCCAATCCAGTCAAATCAGGGCACCAGCAGACAAGTCAATCTTCCCCAGGCAGATCACTGCCTGCAGCTGCCACAATATGTACCTATAACGTCCACTTTAAACAAAAAGAAAATGGAGATCTGCAAAAGGCAGGAGAACGCCAGGTGCCGGTGGCTCACGCCTGTCATCCTAGCTACTCAGGAGGCTGAGATCTGAGGATCACGGTTCAAAGCCAGCCCAGGCAGGAACATCAATGAGACTCTTATCTTCAATTAACCACCAGAAAACCGGAAGTGGTGTGGTAGCTCAAATGGTAGAGCACAAGCCTTGAGTGGAAGAGCGCAGGGACAGCACCTAGGCCCAGAGTTCAAGCCTCAGGACCAACAATAACAAAAAAAAGCAGGAAAACATAACCAATGAATGATTAGGCAATAACAAAGCAATAGTGAACAATAATAAAGCAGGACAGTGGACACAAAATGTTTCTGATAAGACTTAACAATAAAACTTACCAAACATTTGGGCCGGAGATGTGACTCAAGCAGTAGAGCGCCAAGACTCAAGTTCAAAAACTAACAAAATCAGCCGGGCGCTGGTGGCTCACGCCTGTAATCCTAGCTACTCAGGAGGCTGAGATCTGAGGATCGCGGTTCAAAGCCAGCCTGGGCAGGAGAGACCGTGAGACTCCTATCTCCAATAAACCACCAGAAAACCGGAAGTGGCGCTGTAGTTCAAGTGGCCGAGCGCTCGCCTTGAGCTGAAGAGCTGAGGGACAGTGCCCAGGATCAGAGTTCAAGCCCCACAACTGACCAAAAAAAAAAAAAAAACTAACAAAATCCTCCCAAATAGCTATTTTATATACATGTAAGGAATTAAAGGAACCTAAAGCAATTAGAAAGAAGAGGCACAATGAAAGCGTCTCACCAAACAGAGAAAGAACATCAGCATAAGTAGGGAAATCATGAAGAACCCAGTAGGAATCCAGGGGAGGAAAACTATGAGTGAAGTCGTTAAGAACTAGACAGCAGACCTGAGTGGACAGATCAGTGTACTTAAAGATGGATCGTTTAGGGTTATATAGCGTGAAAAAACAAAGAAAATGCAAGAAAAAGAGAGGCTAAGAAACATGGGTCAAGATCAAGTGAGCAACATAGGAGCCACAGGCACCCTGAAGGAAGGGAAGGAACAGGAAAAATTCTCCAGAGATTGTTACTAAAAGTGGATGAAACTAGTAACCCATACATGCAAGCAGTCTAGTTAACTCCACAGAGATCCATCCACACCTTGACTCCCCACAGCCCAAGTGCTGAGTACCAGGGGGTGGGGAGGGATGGTAAAAACGGCAGGAGGACAATGACTTGACACAGGAAACCTAGAAAAAGTAACCTCTGACTTCTCATCAGATACCAGAGTCTAGAATGGCTAAGGAAAAAAGGACTGTTAGCCAAGATTCTCACACCAAGCAAAGCTTATCCTTAAAAATAAAGACTTCCTTTGACAAGTATGAATTGGGAGAATTTGTTGCCATCAGGAAACACTGAAGTTGGTTCTCTGTACTGGAAGCAAGTGACATCAGTGGTAAACTAAATGCATAGGTTAATAGTATACAAAGTGCAGGCTGATCCTTTCTTCTCTTAACTGACTTTTAAAGACAGCCACAGCTGGTGGCTTAGACCTGTAATCTTGGCCTTGAAATCAGGACCTGGGCACATATGTGAGTTTTTTTTACTTAAAGCTAGTGCTCTACCACTTGACTTCCAGCTTTTTGGTGGCAAAATGGAATAAGAGTTTCATAGCATTTCCTTCCTGGGCTGGCTTCAAACTGTGATCCTCAGATCTCAGCCTTCTGAGTAGGATTACAGGCGTAAGCCACCAGCACCTGGCAGTAAGATTTCCATATGTCACTAATTAGCATAAATTTGAAGGAATTAGCCTTAGAGTAACTATTAAAAAAGGAACTTCAAGTGGTGAAGGTCACTAAAGGAATTAAAATATACTGGGAAATATTCACTAATACAAAAGAAGGCAATAAAAGAACAATGGATTAAGGAAAAGTGATGGGCATGTAGGAAACAAAAAGTAAAATTGCGCCGGGCGTCGGTGGCTCACATCTGTAATCCTAGCTATTCAGGAGGCTGAGATGTGAGGATTTCGGTTCAAAGCCAGCCTGGGCAAGAAAGTTCGTGAAACTCTTATCTCCAGTAAACCACCAGAAAACCGGAAGTGGTGCTGTAGCTCAAGTGGTAGAGCACTAGCCTTGAGCTGAAGAGCTGAGGGACAGGGCTCAGGCCCAGAGTTCAAGCCCCATGACCAACCAAAAAAAAGTAAAATTGCAAGTGTAAATCCAGACCTTAAATATGAATCAAATATTAGACCGAAGGGCAAAACTGACAAAGTTTAAATCCTTATATGATGTCTTACACAGAATTCAGGTTTAGAGACATAAAATTTAAGTTAAAAGCTAACAATTAACCACTCAAATAACCACAGGAGATCTGTAGCAACGCTACTACCAGAACAGGCTTTACAATAAAAAGTACCACTAGAACAAAGAGTGACAAATCCATCAGGAAAATACAACAATCATGAATGTATATGTGCCTAACAAACGCCCCAAAATATATGAGGCAAAAACTGACAGAAATGAAAAAGGAGAAAGACCATTTAAAAATAGAGACTTCATTTATCTGCCTTTGTAATGGGTTCAACAATCAGGCAGATAATCAGGGAAGAGAGACTGAAGAACACTGTCAATCACTGACTGGACAGGGACCTCAGCTCTACCAACAGCAAAGCCAACTGTTTTCACACCCACATGGACAGGCCACACACTGGCCATCAAAACCAAGTTCAATTTAGAAGTACTGGAATCAAAGTGTGTTATGTTATACAATTACAATGGAATTAAAGTAGAAATAAATAGAAGAAATGTGGGAAGTTCATCAAATATGGACATTATTATCACATTCCTAAATGACAAATGGGTCAAAAAATGGAAGGAAATGAGAAACTAAGGTGAATAAAAACAGAACCACATAACCAAAACTCATAGTGCATTTCCAGAACTATTTACAGAGAAAGAGGGCTATAAGCAACTACATTTCAAAGTGAGAAAGAATAATACAGGCTGGGCACTAGTGGCTTACACCTGTAACTCTAGCTACTCAGATTTGAGGACCTTGGTTAGAAGCCAGCCCTGGCAAAACCTCCAAGAGACTTTTTTTCTCCAATTAGCTATCAAAAAAGAAAAAGGAAAAAAAAGCCAGAAGTAGAAGAGCCCTAGCCATGAGCACAGAAGTTTATGGACAGCACCCAGGCCCTGAGTTCACAAAGAAAGAAAGGAGGGGAGGGGGAAGGAGGGAAGGAAGGAAGAGAGGGAGGAGGGGGAGGGAGGGAGGAAAGAAAAGAAAGAGAAAGAAGGGAGGGACAAGAAAAAGGAAACTAGGAAAGAAAGCGAGGGAGGGAGAGAGGGAGGGAGGGAGGGAAAGAGATCAAGCTAACTCTCAATGTTACAAAACTGGAAAATGAGGGCTGGGAAGGTGGCTCAGTGATAGAGTACTTGCCTTGCATGCATGAGGCCTGGGTTTGATTCCTCAGCACCACATAAGCAGAAAAAGCTGGAAGTGGTGCTGTGGCTCAAGTGGTAGAATGCTAGCCTTGAGCTGAAGAGCTGAGGGACAGCGCCCAGGCCCAGAGTTCAGGCCCCACAACTAACCAAAACAAACAAACAACAACAACAAAAAACCTGGAAAATGAGCCACCTAAGTCCAACAAAGCAGAAGAAAACAACTAATAATTATTAGAGTAGAAAATAAAAATAATTATTAATAGAAAACAAAAAATAGAAAAATCAAATTTTGTTCCTTACAAAATAATAAAACGAGAATGATTTAATAAAAAAATTCAAATTGCCAGTTGAGAATAAAAGGATCATTATCAAATATTACAAAACGTAAAAGGTTACAAGAAAAAAAAATAGGAGATAGGAATCTCATGGACCCTAACATTGATGAATCTGGATTGATTTGTAACTAGAGACTGAATTCCTAACTTTTAAACCTTCCTGTAAAAAAAAAACCCAGGCCCAGATGAATTCACTAGATAAAAGAATTAACTCCAATTCTTCACAAACTCTCATATCCTAACTTATTTTATAAGTTATATCCTAATATTTAGGATAATATAGTCCTTATAATTAGGATATATTAAAATAAAGTCATCACAAGAAAACAACATACCAGGACAGGCATGGGAGGGGTGGGAGGAGAGCTCATGATTATAATCCTAGCTAGGAGCATTTCGGTTCAAGGCCAGCCAGGGCAAAAAGTTCACTAGTTCTCAGGTCATCAGAAAACATTGTGAGTGTTGGCACACACCTATTGTCCCAGCTCTGGCAAAAGGATAAACAAAAGGGTCTCTGCATAGACCGGCCCAGACAAAAAGCAAGACGCTATTAAAAGTAATGAAAGCAAAAAGGGCTGGGTATGTGGTTCCATGGTAGAGTGCCTGCCCAGCATGCACAAAACCCAGGGTTTGATCTTCATTATTTCAAGAAAATAAACAAAAGTTTCAGGATACAAGATCAATATGTAAAAATCAATGTTATTTCTACAAAGTAGCAATGAAAAACTCAGGGTGGAATTAGAAAGATTCCATTTTCAAAAAAAAAAAAAAAAAAGAAAGATTCCATTTTCAATAATATAAAAAGGAATTAGTTTGGAAAACATTTAAAGCTTACAATCTGGAATTTTCTCCACCCATCCTTCCTTCCTTTCTCCCTCTCACCCACACCCCAGCAGGCTCTACATACTTTTCACGGAAGCAGTACTGCTATGGCTGTGAGGGTGCTGTGGACAGGCCATGCTTGGTGAAGCCATTCGCTGAAAGGTAAGCGTGGATGGATGACTAGCAGAGACAAGCCGCAGGCAGTGACACAGAGCTAGCAGCAGTGGAGCCTCATGCAATGTAGTACATACCCAGATAGGACCGCGTGGGGGGGACTTTGAGTTCTTCGTCCTTACTGTCTGCAGCTACATTTAAAAAGGGAAAGAAGCAGAAAGAAAGAAGACAGAACAGACTGGTTTAAACGTTGGTGAACTGTTGTTGCACAGCAAAAGAACAAAAAACATTGGAACAGAAAGCCACACAAGACTTTTATTACTGTGCATTCAAAAATTCCCTTTCAAAGCCGTTCTCCAAAGCCGCCTTCTTCCAGTATTTGCAGGACAGTGCACGGGAGTAGGGAAAGAAATGTTACATAAAATGTAAGCTACTGCAGTGTCTCTATTTCTAGGCCATGAAGCCACGGCACTTGCTCTGGTGACAGAAACTCAAGCACACGGCAGCCAAGGCCAGTTTGCCCAGAGCTGAACAGTTTCTGCAGGCTCAGTGGCAAAGCTGTTCCAGATCCCACCCAGTGACGCGGCCCCTGTCAAAGGACAGCGGGGTCAGCACATGAGCTTCGCAGCACGGGCAGACACTCTGCCTGAGCACAAGTCTCCTACAGGGCAACCCAGGACACCACAGATTACTGGCCCTGGTTCAGGCTCCCTGCTAACGTGGCCCCAGCATAGCTGCCAAAGGCCCTCGGGGCCAAGGTGCCTGGGCAGCAGGCCGAAGCCACCAGCAGTTGGGGACCAAAGTGAACAAAACAGAAGTATGATCCCAGGTGGCGTGTCCCCTCCCAGTGCACTGTGGACTTTAAGTGGAAATGCCACAAGCAAACAGATAAAAACAAATACTAGATGACCTGTGCTGCCTGGATTTAGCAGACAAACCACCCTGATCATTGCAGGTAGTGCAAAGAGAAAGAGGGACCAGGAACAAACAGTGTCTCACTCCTGTAGTCTCAAATACACACACATCAGGAAGACAGCAGTTGGAGGCCAGGAGGAGAATAAAGTTAGCAAGATCCCATCTCAACCAAGAAGGTGAGAATCACCCTAGGTACCTGGAGTCATAGGTATGAAGATCTGGTCTAAGGCTCGTCTTGGTCTAAAACACTAGATCCTACCTAAAAATGAACTAAAGCAAACAAGGGTTGTGGAAGTAGCTCAAGCAATGTAGCACCTGCCCAGCAGCCTAATTCAAATCCCAGTACTGCTGAGAAAAAGTAATTTGTTTTATCAACAAAGGAGTTTTGGAAAGAAGCTGCAGATCCAAACTACTAAATTTTAAAAAGAAACGGAAGACATATCAACCAAAAATAACTGATAAAGACCTATCAACCATCACAGAATGCCTTAGCCTGGATCCCAAGCCAGGGAAACAAAAGTAGCCAAAAAGTTAGAAAATGAACTGGATATATACGATATATACAAGGTTTGTGAGCAGAAGTGAGGTGTCCAATTACAGGCTTAATTATGCTCTCCTGACTTTTGTAAATGTTACAAACTCTCTGTGATACACTTTGTCATTGATTGATTGAAGGTGCTCAAGTGGTAGAGCACCATCAGTAAGGGGGAAAAAGACCAGACAAAAATAAAACATGTTCCAGACAACCACACATGCACCCGTAGTCTGCCTCCAGAAAGATACCCTGAAACTCTGGAGCAACTCCCCTGGACCCCAAGCCACTCAAAGCCAAAGGGAGCCCCCTCTCCCCCAGCCCTGACTCCAAACTACACAGGGGCAGGGAAGTGGGGAAAGCAGTGAAATGGGGCATGTTTTAGATTGATCCAGTTTTGAGATTTATAAAAATTTTGTGATGGGCCACAACTGCAAAACAAAGAACCTGGAAAATGCCTAAAATGCTCACAGATGTCAGCTGCGGGCAGGGCTTACTCTTACTTCTACTTTATATTCCTCTGCCTTCTCCAAAATATCTCCAAAGTGTGCACTTTGCATGCTCTTTATGTTCAAACAACAAATCACATTGTTTCTAATTAAAACCTGCCCTTTCATTTCTTAAAAATAAGTGACTTTGCTGGGCGCTGGTGTCTCACACCTGTCATCCTAGCTACTTAGGAAGCTGAGATCTGAGGATCACCTTTCAAAACCAACTCTGCAGAAAAGTCTGAGACTCATCTCCAACTAACCACCAGAAAACCAAAAAGTGCTGTGGCTCAGAGCGGCATTGCGCCTTGAGCTGAAGAGCTCAGCCCAGCTCTGAGTTCAAGCCCCACAACTAAAAAATGAAAATTAGTGACTTGCAAAATTTAAATCTCTGTAAGACAGCTGGAGACTTTTTACTCCATCTGGCTACCCCATGAGGACACCGAACATGGCCTGTCCAAAAGCTTCTTCATAAATCATTCTTAATTTCAGACACTTTGCCTGCATTTGTGCCTCCGAGGTCCAAGGCAGACCTGCAGGATGTCTGCATTCTTGGGTGATACTCAAGAGTGTGTCTGGAACCAACAACCTTCTTTGGGAGGCAGAGCTGCTAACAGGGTCTTTCCTGGGACCATGCGGCAGCAGGATGAAGGACATGGCAGTGGCCTGATGCCAGACCAACCAACCCAGGTTTCTGGGTTTTCTACGCCCTCCCTCACAGTTCTGGAAGACGGAAGGAAGCAAATCCACAAATATCACATTAAAGCTACAGGTCCGAGTATGTTGGGGTATCTTTTTTTTTTGACACCTACATTGAGCATTTACTTTGTGCTAAGCTCCAGGCTCAGCTCTTTCCACCCGTTAAACACTTGATTTTTACAATAGCCTCTTGAGATAATATATTCCAAACATCTCTAGTTATAGATAAGCAGACGGAACTTATAGGAGATAGCCTGTAGCTATTTACTTGTAGCAAACAGACTACATTCAAACTCTGCTCTGACCACACACTTCTCAGAGTCAGATGAGGAAATGTGCTCCAGGTACTTCCTCATATCTGGAATACAGGAAGGGGAAGAGAAGAGCCAACTGTGGCCACGTAGACTATTCTCAAATCTCAAGTGTAAATCCTGAAATGAGATATAACAAATTCTGTTGACTACAATTTTTCAGGAAAATAGATGACATGAAAAACTAAGCAAATGTCAGAGCCTGACTCAAAGCAGACATGAAACTGGCCACTGTGGCTAGGCTGCTCATGAGGCTGAGATCTGAGGATGAAGCCGGCCCAGGCAGACGAATTCAAGCGAGTCATCTCCAACTAATCAGCAACACCTGAAGGTAGGGAGGAGCCAGGGAGAGAGAGAGAGGAGGCTGCCCAGGAAGCAAAGCCACAGTACCCACAAGGAATGCACTTCCCTGAACAGCCCCACACCATGCAGAGCCTGGCTAGCTCTGTCATAATTTAAACCCCATCATAACAGGAAGAGAACAGGTGCTCAGAGGAAGGAACAACAAGAACAAGTCATGGCCATCTGTGTAATTGCAGTAGTCTAACTGGTCTCAGTTATCAGAACAAGATGCTGACCTGCTTTCTACAAAAATGAGATGGTGCCATTTGTTTATCTAAACACAGGCTCATATAGAAACAGAAGGATCTTGTTAATGAGAAGAAAATAACGATCACAAATAAAAACATACAAGGGCTGGGAAGGTGGCTCAGTGGTAGAGCACTTGCCTTGCATGCCTGAGGCCCTGGGTTCGATTCCTCAGCACCACATAAGCAAAAAATAAAAAGCCGGAAGTGGCGCTGTGGCTCAAGTGGTAGAGCACTAGCCTTGAGCTGAAGAGCTGAGGGACAGCGCCCAGGACCAGAGTTCAGGCCCCACAACCAACCAAAAAAAAAAATTAAGAGAGAAATGGTTGGAAGCCTGGCTCAAGCAGTAGAGCACCTGTGTACACAGGTGAGGCCCTGGGTTAAATCCCCAACACTGCAAAGGGGTGCAGGTAGAGGAGGGAGTTGTTTCCATTAGAGAAAAAAGTAACAGGAAGTAAGCTTTAACCTTCCTGCACACGAGAAGTTTGTCTTCATACACGTTCACACCAGGCATGTCTGACTGGAAGGAACATTCGCAAAGGAGAAGGCAAAAGTAGGAAGTGTTTCTTGTTTGATGGGTGGCCTGGATCTGAGGCATGGCTGCACCTGCTAATAAGCACAATTGGGTCCACCTATACCCTACACAGGCAGAGCACGCAGAACCTGCTCTGGGGCAGGGAGCACCCACGCATAATTCTGGATACACAGCCAACAAGGTATGTGGGAAGGATGTGTCTGATGGCCAGGCTGTGCCTATAAGCTGTCACGTTGCTGGCTGGCTCCTGCTCCATCTTTCTGAGATAGAACAGAGTCAGGCCACGGAGTTGTTAACTCCTTGTCCAGATTCCTGCACAAAACTCTTATCTTGAATTATTTCACACAAAACACCATTTAATTTACTGTCCTTACAGATAACCACCATTTAGTGAAATGGAAGCTGCTTAGATAACACTGAAGTGGCCTTTCTTTCACCAAAGAACAGAAGACATTTTGTTTGCTGACTTAGTGAGACTTTATTTCAGACTGTTAATCACCCACCTGCAAAGGAGCGACGTTTTATGTTCAGCTCGTTGGCCACGCGGACTTCGGTGCAGAGTTTCAGCATCAGAAGCATGGTCAGGATCATGATTATGCTCTGCCACAGGAGCGGCGACTCAAAGTGCCGCCCGAACCTAGTGTGGAGAGGGTGTGGAGTCAGGAAGGAAGTGTGACAGGAGGCCCTGCTGGGGAACTGGTCCCAGCAAGCCCAGTGCCCCGGCACACCCAGTGCCAGAGAGCACGTGGCCCAACACTGCACTCCCACAGCACCAACAGAGAAGGCAGCCGAGCGAGTGGCTCAAACACCCGCAGCACTCCTGCCAATCGCCTGACCTCCACGCCCTCCCCCTCCCAGCCAGGAGCTTCTGGGCCTTCCTTCCCACTGATCTTTAACCAGTCACACCTCTCACCAACTTGGCCATAGGTTTTGCCCCTAAAAGGCAAAAGTACCACCCAGCATCAGGCCCAGCCTGAGGATCTCCACCTGTGTCCACTAGACCACGATGGAAGCCATGACACTCAGGACCTCATGCAGATCCAGTCCTACCCCTGGACTAGGAACCTTGGCTAACACTAGCTGGAAAGGTTGTTAGCACACTGAATTCAGATCTATACACAGCAAGGTTCCCGCCCTTTCCTAAAAACAGCAAGCCCCACAAATGCCCTGAAGTTCCTTTAGCCCTCTCCAGTCCCATCACCTCCCACTCAGAGGCCGGAGGCCTGAGTTACCTAAGGGAATGGCAGGCAGCTGAAGGCTGGCTGATTGCTACAGCTCTAGAGCCAGCACTTAGCAGACACAAGGCCCTTACCTACACAGGCCTGTGAACACCACCACCACAGGGTGAATTAGCAGACACCAGTTCACTGGGGCAAGTATAGTAAGGTCTTACTGACCCAGGGCTAACACCAAGCTTGCTCAGGGGTAACTATCCCACCACACCATCCACCTGGCTGCAAAGATAAAGAACTCACCAAGGCAGAAGAGTCTGTGAGACTTATCTGCAATAAACCACCAGAAAACCGGGAGTGGTGCTGTGGCTCCACATGGTAGAGTGCTAGCCTTGAGCAAAAGAGCTCAGGAACAGCGTCCCACAAGTTCAGGCCCCACCACTGACAAAAAACAAGTATTCCACAAGACCGTTGTAGTGGTGTGTGCCAGTAACCCTGGTACTCAGGAATTTGCAGTCCCACCAGGTCAGCCTGAGCCACATAGCAAGACCTTGTCTCAAAATAAGAGCAAAAAAGTAGCTTTCTGATGAATGACCCAACAGTCTGAGTAAGAAGTCAGGTGAACATCTCAGTCACAGTAGCCTCAAAGCAAAACAACAAAAAAAAGCCTGGGAAGAGATCTTATAACTAAGGAGACAAAAGACTTCTATAGTGAAAACTACAAAACGTGGAAGAAGACAGTAGACTATGGAAAGACCGCCCATGCTCATGGATTGCCAACGTTAATATTGTGGAAATGGCTGTACTACTGAAAGAAATCTACAGATTCAAAAGTCTCCACCAATCACCATGCCATCAGTCACAGAAATAGAAAAATCAATCCTAAAGTTTGTATGTAAACATAAAAGACCTCAAACAACCAAAGAAATCCTGAGTAAGTAGAATAATGCTGGAGGTATCACAATACTTCAAACTATACTACAGAGACACAGTTACAGAAACAATATGGTACTGGCACAAAAAGCGGTGTAGACCCTGAGTTGCCAGAGCCTCAGATAAGTCCACACAGCCACTGTTGTGCGGTAATTATGCTTTAAATCAGATATAAATCCAGTCCCAAGAAAAAGAGAAACCACATTTTGAGAGGTACAATTTTGGAGTCTTTATTGGAGCGCTAGCAGTCTGCAGTCCTGAGCCCTGAACAGAGCTTGCACCAAGTTTTTAAAGACAAAGGTCACATGTTGGGTGGAGACCAAGCATCAGCAAAGCCTGAGACAAACCAGCCCCAGAGCTGGGCTCCTCAGGGCTGGTCAACTTGTTTGATGTATTCACATTTCCTCAAGGCTGCCCCTCTGCCTCTCCACCCCTCCCGGCTCTGCTAACTGATCCAGGCATCCGCAATTCAGAGGAGGGCTCTAGTCACCTTTAGTCCTTGGAGCTGGGTGAACGGCACCCCATCTCCTGACTAGGTCCAGGATATGTGAAACCAACAGCACCCAGCACCTGGACAGAAGACAGGATGGCTCACACGAACATTAAAGACAGGCTGTGCAACAAATGGTACTGGGAAAACTGTCTGTCTACATTCAGAACACTGAAACGAACCCTGCCTCTCACGAGCTGAATAGCAGATGGATCAAAGATCTGAATGTAAGACCTGAACCTTTGAAACTGCTACAAAGAAAGCATAAAGGCCCAGGCAGAGGCCATGACATTCTGAAGAGCACTCCAGGTGCTCAGGAAATAGGAGCAAAAACTGACAAATGAGATGGCATCAAATTAAAACGCTTCCTCACGGGGTGTTGGGCACTTAATGTCTGTAATCCTAGCTAAGCAGGAGACTGAGATTTGAGGATCATGGTTTGAAACCAGCCTGGGCAAGAAAATCCTTGAGACACTTATCTCCAACCAGCCACCAAAAAGCCAGAAGTGTAGCTGTGGCTCAGGTGGCAGAGTGCTAGCCTTGAGCAAAAGAACTCAAGGACAGTATCCAGGCGGCTCTGAGTTCAAGACCCAGGACTGGCAAAACAATTTTCAGAATGAAGAGACATCCACAGAAAGGTAGACAAACCTTTACAAGATATTCATGTTCACTTGAAAAAGTATTAACAATCAAATGTTCAACATTCTTAGCCATATAGGACATGCAAATCAAAATAACAGAATCCATCTCAGCCCAGGAAGAATGACAGTCAAGAAAAGAAACAGCAAAAAAAAAAAGAAATGTTCTCATTATCTTGCCCATGTAATTGTAACCCCTCTGTACAGTATTTTCACAATAAATAAATAAAGCTTAAAAAGAAAAAGCAAAAGCTGGCAAGGAAGTGGTGGAGGGAGGTACTTTATGCTCTGCTGGTGATAACATAAATGAAGGCAGACACATTGGAAATCAGGATGAAGGGTCCTTAAAAAAGAATAAGCCAGTCGGATGTGACTGGAGCTGGAAGCCCGCGGGCCGTAGATGCTGCTGCTGCTGCAGGATCGCGACCCGGAGCATCTGAGTAATAGCTCTTCAAGTCTACAATTAAAAATGGCCTCTAACAAAACTACATTGCAAAAAATGGGAAAGAAACAAAATGGAAAGAGTAAAAAAGTTGAAGAAGCAGAGCCTGAAGAATTTGTTGTGGAAAAAGTACTGGACCGACGTGGAGTGAATGGGAAAGTAGAATATTTCCTGAAGTGGAAAGGATTTACAGATGCTGATAATACTTGGGAACCTGAAGAAAATTTAGATTGTCCAGAATTAATTGAAGCATTTCTTAACTCTCAAAAAGCTGGTAAAGAAAAGGATGGTACAAAAAGAAAATCTTTATCAGACAGTGAATCTGATGATAGCAAATCAAAGAAGAAAAGAGATACTGCTGACAAACCAAGAGGTTTTGCCAGGGGTCTAGATCCTGAACGAATAATTGGTGCCACAGACAGCAGTGGAGAATTGATGTTTCTCATGAAATGGAAAGATTCGGATGAAGCTGACTTGGTGCTGGCAAAAGAGGCGAATATGAAATGTCCTCAGATTGTAATTGCATTTTATGAAGAGAGACTAACTTGGCATTCTTGTCCAGAAGATGAAGCTCAATAATTGTTTGCATTGTTTTTTATATATATTTATACATATATATAAAATCTGAGTCTTGGTTTTTGAATTAATGGTGTGAAACAATAACTACATTCTAAAGAAAATCAAGTTTGATAATGGTTTTGAAAGTAGTATTGGGGGAGTTGTTGAGTTTTTTGGGTTTTTTCCCTCAATAGCACTGGTTACTTTAAACAAATATAATAAAGGCTTTCTGTAGTTGCTTCTTTTATCAGAAAAGAAAAAAAAAAAAAAAAGAATAAGCCAGCCAGGCGCCGGTGGCTCTAGACTGTAATCCTAGCTACTCAGGAGGCTGAGATATGAGGATGGATGTTCAAAGCCAGCCCTAGCAGGAACAACCGTGAGACTCTTATCTCCAATAAACCACTAGAAAACCGGAAGTTGCGCTGTGGCTCAAGTGGTAGAGTGCTCACCTTGAGCTGAAGAGCTGAGGGACAGCTCCCAGACCCAGAGTTCAAGCCCCACGACTGACAAAAAAGAAAAAAAAGAATAAGTCAGGCTTATTTAATTTTATAAGTGAGCCTTAGTATAGGCTTGCACCTGTAATCCTAGCTAATCCTACCATTTGAAGCCAGCATGGGCTTCTCTACTCCAGCAAAAAGCTGAGTTTAGCCAGTAGCTAGCTGGTGGCTCATACCTGTAAACTTAGCTGCTTAAGAGGATGAGATCTGAGGATTAGTTCAAAGCCAGCCCAGGGAAGAAAAGTCTGTGAGACTCATCTCCAATTAACTAACAAAAAGTTGGGGGTGAAGGTGTGGCTCAAGTGGCAGAACACTAGCCTTGAGTAAACAAAGCTCAGGGATGGCACCCAAGCCTTGAGTTCAGGCTTCAGGACTGGCACCAAAAATTTGGGGCTCTCATGTCAAGAGTGCCTGCTGAGCAATGTGTGAAGCCCTGGGTTCAAACCTCTGTACTAGCAGAAAAGAGGGGTTGTTCATGACTGCAGTCTCAGTTTGCTATGGGGCACAGATGAAGAGATCATGGTTTAAGGCTAGTTCGGCCAAGTTATCGAGACCACATCTCAACAAAAGAAAAGTGGATACGGTGATATAGGTCCTTCACTCCAGCCACAGGGAAGGTAAGTAGGACGATCACTTCTAGGAGCTGTTCTTGCTGTGTGTATCCTATCACGCGATCACACAACGCTGAGATGGTAAAGGCGGCATGTGGTGCTGCTTCCTAACAGGCCAGCATCCCAGCAAAAATGAGGCACTTGGAGAAAGCCAAGGCTTGTGTTCCTCCTTGTGCCACTCCCTGAATCAGAGCGCTTCGGGTTCACAGTGAAGAAAACAGTGCTGAAAACCAGCAGATCTGAGTGTTTAGCTGACAAGATAAAGACAACCTAAGTAGGAAACAAAATTAAAAAAAAAACAAAACACAACTTTCCCCAAAAGATGCACAAAAAGGCCACAATAAATAGGAACTGTTTTCAATACTACTAAATTTTTTAGGGTAACCAAGGAAAGATGTCACCTCTTCCTAAGTGTAATGACAGCTGCCTGTCCTAGCAAGGACATGTGAGCGGTGGGTGGGCACAGCACCTCTGAGAGCGGGCAGCACCCTCCCCCAACCCCCCCCCCCCCCCCCCCCCGATCCACAGGCTCTTGAAGACGCGGGGACACCGCAGCCCAAGTGGAATCACACTGTGGGTACGTACAAGGTCTGACCAAGTCTAGCATTTGGTTCTACAGAGGACAATTTCTGTAAGTCCCAAAGTAACATAGAAACTGGGGTGGAAGAGAAACTGTGCTCTACCCTATGCAATGTGAGGTCAACATCTCCAGCAGAGCGTTACCACGGACTGGACACAACCAAGACATGCCCAGCAGAACGTTACCACAGACTGGACACAACCAAGACATCCCCAACAGAGCGTTACCACAGACTGGACACAACCAAGACATCCCCAACAGAGCGTTACCACAGAATGGACACAACCAAGACATGCCCAGCAGAGCGTTACCACGGACTGGACACAACCAAGACATCCCCAACAGAGCGTTACCACGGACTGGACACAACCAAGACATCCCCAGCAGAGCGTTACCACAGAATGGACACAACCAAGACATGCCCAGCAGAGCGTTACCACGGACTGGACACAACCAAGACATGCCCAGCAGAGCGTTACCACAGACTGGACACAACCAAGACATGCCCAGCAGAGTGTTACCACAGAGTGGACACAACCAAGACATGCCCAGCAGAGCGTTACCACGGACTGGACACAACCAAGAGCCCAGGCCAGCAATGGCTGAGGCTGAGCATCACAGCCAGTACCCCATCAGAGTGAGACCCAACAATTTAGCTGTGGAGTTCCTGAGGCTCTGAGCCCTGGCCCTGTGGTCCACCTATTCACGCACCCACCCTGTCTCTCTCCACTGCTAATGTAAGCAGGGTCTGGCAAGCATTCATTAGCTATAAGGACCCTATGGCCCCACACTTTTCTGACAACACAAATGCCAAATCTGCCTATGGCCAGGCGTTTCACGGAGTGTGACCTGAATAGAGCAACATTAAGAGAATCTGAAAAAGAAAGGGCAAGAAAGCTACTAAGTTTCTGAGTTAGCCCCTTCCTGCTCCTGCAGGTTCTGGGCCTAGGAAGAGGGTTACCTGGTCTCAGGGGAGCGGAGCTGAGGGCTGTCATCCCAGCCTACCGCGGCTGGGCCTGCTCTCCTCTACCCTGCGGAACCCACAGCCACACGTGTGCACGCACACGTGCCAGGCCCTGCTCCTGCCAGAGCAGCCCTGGCACCTCAGGCCAGGCCTGCACCTCGGGAAGCCTTGGCACCGTGAAGTCAGAGTGCTGACCTGAGAAGTGTGGACAAGGGTGGAGGCCACTAGAGACAGAGGCGCGATAGATGGTCCCATCAGGTGAGCAGCAGGGTCTAGAGAGGAAGCAGCATGCTGGGAGCTGCTCACACTTCGGTCGCCTTCATCCTGTGAGGAGCAAGGAAGATGCGCCCCGGCAGCTCCACGAGAGGCCCTGGCCCTCTGCCCCTCTCCTCCTCTTCCTTCCCGGGCCTCTAGGTCACACAAGGGCCCGGGCGTCCGTGTGTCCTTCCGCAAGCAGCCGGGGGCCTGTGTGGCTCGGGCGGCTTCAGGTGTGGTTTTGCAGAAAAGGGACACTGTGGGCAGGGCTGCGCTCGGGTGCGGCCCGGAACCGGCCTCCAAACAGATGCTCGGCGCCACGGTGTCCCACAGGGGGAGCCCTGGCCTGGGAGCCCGGGGGGCGCAGTCTCAGGTTCTTCTCCCCGACTCTGCAGACCCTGACCCAAGTGTCGCGTGTCCCGTGTGACTTCGCAGTGAAACGCGGCGCCTTTCCGCGGGCGGAGAGCCCAGCGCGCTCCCCACCGGCTCCCACCACCCGGGCCTGAGACCCGGGGAGCCCAGCGCGCCCCCCACCGGCTCCCACCACCGGGGGCCTGAGACCCGGGGAGCCCACCGGCTCCCACCACCCGGGCCTGAGACCCGGGGAGCCCACCGGCTCCCACCACCGGGGGCCTGAGACCCGGGGAGCCCACCGGCTCCCACCACCGGGGGCCTGAGACCCGGGGAGCCCACCGGCTCCCACCACCGGGGGCCTGAGACCCGGGAGGCCGTGTCCGGGCTCCTCAGACGGGATGGGACGGGCCCTCCAAAGCAGCCCGGCCGGGGACGAGCCTCAGGCGCAAGCCGAGGCGGCCGGGCCGCGCTGCCCCGAGACCCGCGCAGGGTCCCCACGCGGGTGCTGCGCGGCCCCGCACGGCCCCTCGCCCGCCCGGGACGGCGCTCACCAGAAGAGGATGCGCAGGATGTTGGCGACCAGCAGCACGAGGCACACGTGCGTGGAGAAGCCGTCGGCGCTCTGCGTGCGCCGGATGTCGCGGTACTGCGGGATGTAGGGCACCACGCCGCCGAAGACCATGGCGCCCGCCGCCGCCCACGACAGCAGCCGGCGCAGCGGGGCCAGGAGCCCGTCCGCGCCCGCGGCCTCCATCGCGCCCGACCCCGGCCGCCCTGCGGGAAGGGGAGGCTGCGTCGGGGTCCGCGAGGGCCGGGCGGCGGCAGACCCGCACTCCCGCGAACGCGCCGCGCCGGCCCGAGCGTCCGTGCGTCCGTGCCGCGGGCCGAGGCGCGCCGGCCCGGCCGCTGCGTCACAATGGAGGCCACGCCCACTCGGCCCGGCGGCGGCGCCGCGGGGTCCTAGCGCGCTCCGCCGGGACGGCCGGGCCGGGCGGGGAGCGGGGCCCGGGCGCCGGCTGGGAAGCGCCCGGGACCGGGTTGCAGCGCTCGGGCCAGCGGCACCGCTGGCGGCCTCTCCGGTGTACGTGGTGCCGGGAGTCGGACCCGGGGCCCTCGCCCGGCGCCCGGCCTCCCCGCCCGCCCCGCTCCCGGGAACCCCGGCTCCGGCGGGCAGCCGGCGGCGACCTCCCGATCCTCAGGCCTTGGCCTCCCGAGGAGCCCGAAGGGCCCGGGAGTCTGGGCAGCCCGGGCCCCGGGGCCCCCAGGCCCCCGGCCTCGGTCGTGTAAACGGGGCTCTATGCCCAGCCTCCCTTCCCCGAGAGCCGAGCCGAGCCGGGCCGAGCCGAGCCGGGCTGAGCCGGCCCGGAGCCGAGCCGGGCCGAGCCGAGCCGGGCTGAGCCGGCCCGGAGCCGAGCCGGGCCGAGCCGAGCCGGAGCCGGGCTGAGCCGGGCCGAGCCGAGAGGCCGCGGTCGGGGAGCCGGGCTGAGCCGAGAGGCCGCGGTCGGGGCTCTGCGTGCTCCTCGGTGAGCACCGCACCCCTCGCTCTTTCCCTCCCCTCCTGCCCGAGTTGCCCACTGAGAATCTCTGAATTGGTTCGCCCTTTACCCCCCAATCAGGGCCTAGTTACAGGGCTGCGTCGACGACTGTTATCCACGAGGACATCTCCAAATCTGGAACCTTCTTTTGAAGTGCCTTGGGTTTGGGGGTTGAAGGCTGGGCAAGTACTCTATCACTTAACCCACTCCACCCGTCCCTTTTCCTGTAGGTTCTTTTCAAGACAGCCGAGGCCGTGCCCAGGCCTCCGCCTGCAGCTCCCCTCGTAGCCCGGCTGGCCTCAAACCTCGATCCTCGATGCCTCAGTAGCCACTGTCCTGTGACACCACCTCCAGCTCAGAGCGGGGCCTGACCATAGAAGCCCCCTCCCACCGCCCTTCACGCCCTGCTGCCTGCTCAACCTGCGGCAGCCGCATGCCTCGGGCTCGGGCAGGTCTGGATGCCTGAAATGGAAGTCAGATCTTCAGACTGAAGCAGGTTAAGACAGAGGCTCTTCCAGGCTTCACTTGGAGGCCGGACTACGGTACAGCTGGGTGCGCGCTCGTCAGCACCTCTGGCCCTGCCTGCCCGTCAGTTCAAGATGCCTTGTCTGCTGGCAGCGGCGTCAGACACAGAGCTCCAGGCTTCCTCGGACAGAGCTTTCCTCTGAAATCAGCAGAGGTGCGGCCTGAGCACCCCTGGACTGCCTCTGGAGGCCTTAAAGACAGGGTGCAGTGCGGCGGTTCCGACAGAGCGAGGAGGAAGGAGAGCCCACGGCTGAAGAGCACCCACTGCCCGCCTGCTCGTGGGAGCTGTGCGCACAGCCCAGCGTGGGCAGCCCAGCCCAGCGTGGGCAGCACAGCCCAGCTGCGCAGCACAGCCCCTCGGTTCTGTCCTGGGACCCGAGCCCGGCCAGCTGCCCGGCCCCTCTTGTCTTGCCTGGAAAGTATCTCCCCTTTCATCCTTAAATTGGCTCGCACGAGTCTCATTCCTTCCAACTATATGTATTTCTGACACCAGGGCCTGGACTCTTCACTGCCCACAACCAGCTGCAGCCTTTCTCCCCAGACCTCCTCCTGCATTCCCTCAGCCGATTTAAAGAAAGCCCACATGGAGGCGCTTGCAATCCCAGCTCTCTGAGCAGAGATAGGAGAATTGTTGGTTTGAAGTCAGCCCGGGCTACATAGCGAAACTCCACCTCAAAAGCAGTAAGTCAGAGCTGTGGCTCACACCTGTCACCCTAGCTAAACAGTCAGAGCTGTGGCTCACACCTGTCACCTGCTGCTCTGCTCCGGAGGCTGCGGTTTGAAGTCAGGCCAGGCGGGAAGATCTGAGACTCATTTCCCATTAACTACGGAAGAGCGGCAGTGGAGCTCTGGGGCACAGATGTGGTTAGGGACAGTCCCCAAGCCCACGTTCAAACTCCAGGACTGCTGCGCGTGCACGCACGGAAGCACGTGTGCACACACGCACACGTGCACAACGCATGGACACATGCACACGCACGCGCGCACATTCACACGTGCACACATTCGCACACGCGCACACATTCGCACACGCGCAAACGTGCACACATTCACACACGTGCACACGCACAAGTGCACAACGCACGCACACGTGCACAACGCATGGACACATGCACACACGCGTGCACATTCACACACGTGCACACACAGCAAAAGCAGGCAGGAGACCGCGAGGCCGGCCGTACGCCTGCTCTCCGGGACAGGACAGACCTCCCCGCGGAGCAAGGGCGGCGTGTAGAGCCACTTGCGGGCCCGGAGGCGGCTCTGGAAGAGGCTCGTGACAGGAGAGCGCCAGGGCCGACACCCGCGGCTCCGCGGGACGAGGTAGGCGGCTTCCCCTCCCGCCTCGGGTCAGGAAACCGAAGGCGCCCGCAGCGAGGACCTTGGGAGCGGCCGGCGGGGCCCGAAACCCAAACTCCGGAGTCGCTGGGCGCCACTGCCAGGGTCCGCTCCGGAACCCGCCCCGCCCCTCCCCCGGATAGGCCCCGCCCCTGACAGACCCCGCCCACAACCCGCCCCACAGCCCCGCCCCCAGACAGACCCCGCCCCACAACCCAGCCCCGCCCCAGACCCCGCCCCGCACCCCAGCCCCGCCCCACAACCCGACCCCGCCCCACAGCCCCGCCCCCAGACAGACCCCGCCCCGCACCCCAGCCCCACCCCAGACAGACCCCGCCCCTCAACCCAGCCCCGCCCCAGACAGACCCCGCCCCTTCCCAGACAGACCCCGCCCCGCACCCCAGCCCACCTCCAGACGGACCCCGCCCCACACTCCAGCCCCGCCCCCAGTCAGACCCCGCCCCACACTCCAGCCCCGCCCCCAGTCAGACCCCGCCCCACACTCCAGCCCCGCCCCCAGTCAGACCCCGCCCCACACTCCAGCCCCGCCCCCAGTCAGACCCCATCCCGCACCCCAGCCCTGCCCCCGACAGACCCCACCCTGCAGGGGGCCTCCCTCGGCGCGCGGCAGCGGGCCGCAGACCCGGGACTTAGGAGGCCAGAGCCGAGGCCCCGGGGCCAGGCCTCAGCAGGCCTGCGCACGCGCGCGCACACACAAGCACCGGCCCGGGGCAGGGCAGGGCCGTGGGCCTAAGGTGCGGGCTCGGACGCGCGTGCCCTCCGTGGTGCGGCCGGACGCCCACCTCGGGGGCTCCAGCGTCCCCGGTTCCTCGACCTCGGGGACGCCTTGTCCGGTTTTGGGAAACACAAACGTGCTTCAGTCTGCCCCTGCCCCCTGCCCCCTGCCTCCTCCGCCAGGCCCCTGCCCCCTGCCCCCTGCCTCCTCCGCCAGGCCCCTGCCCCCTGCCCCCTGCCTCCTCCGCCAGGCCCCTGCCCCCTGCCCCCTGCCCCCTGCCTCCTCCGCCAGGCCCCTGCCCCCTGCCCCCTGCCCTCTGCCCCCTGCCTCCTCCGCCAGGCCCCTGCCCCCTGCCCTCTGCCCCCTGCCTCCTCCGCCAGGCCCCTGCCCCCTGCCCTCTGCCCCCTGCCCCCTGCCTCCTCCGCCAGGCCCCTGCCCCCTGCCCCCTGCCCCCTGCCTCCTCCGCCAGGCCCCTGCCCCCTGCCCCCTGCCCTCTGCCTCCTCCGCCAGGCCCCTGCCCCCTGCCCTCTGCCTCCTCCGCCAGGCCCCTGCCCCCTGCCCTCTGCCTCCTCCGCCAGGCCCCTGCCCCCTGCCCCCTGCCCTCTGCCTCCTCCGCCAGGCCCCTGCCCCCTGCCCTCTGCCTCCTCCGCCAGGCCCCTGCCCCCTGCCCTCTGCCTCCTCCGCCAGGCCCCTGCCCCCTGCCCCCTGCCCTCTGCCTCCTCCGCCAGGCCCCTGCCCCCTGCCCCCTGCCTCCTCCGCCAGGCCCCTGCCCCCTGCCCCCTGCCTCCTCCGCCAGGCCCCTGCCCCCTGCCCCCTGCCCCCTGCCTCCTCCGCCAGGCCCCTGCCCCCTGCCCCCTGCCCTCTGCCCCCTGCCTCCTCCGCCAGGCCCCTGCCCCCTGCCCTCTGCCCCCTGCCTCCTCCGCCAGGCCCCTGCCCCCTGCCCTCTGCCCCCTGCCCCCTGCCTCCTCCGCCAGGCCCCTGCCCCCTGCCCCCTGCCCCCTGCCTCCTCCGCCAGGCCCCTGCCCCCTGCCCCCTGCCCTCTGCCTCCTCCGCCAGGCCCCTGCCCCCTGCCCTCTGCCTCCTCCGCCAGGCCCCTGCCCCCTGCCCCCTGCCCTCTGCCTCCTCCGCCAGGCCCCTGCCCCCTGCCCTCTGCCTCCTCCGCCAGGCCCCTGCCCCCTGCCCCCTGCCCTCTGCCTCCTCCGCCAGGCCCCTGCCCCCTGCCCCCTGCCCTCTGCCTCCTCCGCCAGGCCTCTGCCCCCTGCCCGCCGGCCGGGCGCTCGGGGCACGTGGGCAGCTCCGCAGGCCGCACGCGGCCTCCCCCGGCCCGCACCCCGGGGTGAGGTCCACGCAGAGCACCGGACCCGGAGCTCGCGCAGAGCCGCTCCGTCCTCAGTGCGTCCCTGCCGGCAAATCCAGGGCAAAACCTTCATCCCGCACAGGCCCGTGTCCGATGGCGGCTGCGCTCCGCCGTCGCCCAGCAAAGGCCCCGGGCTTCAAAGGCTCGGGCGCGGCCTGGGGCCGACCCAGGCCACAGACTGCCTCCAGCGCAGCCGGGTTCGAGCCGCGGTGCCCTCAGAACGGAGGGGAAACGGAGGCAGCGAGAAGCCACCGACACACTGACATCACCGTCCCCGCCCCACGCAGAGCGGCTCCCCCGGCGCCGGTTCACCCGGGGCGGCTCCCGGCACCCGGGTCACCCCGGGTCACCCCGGCGCCCGGGTCGCCCCGGCGGCGCTCAGGCTGCGGCAGGTGTTTAAAGCCAGGGCGGACCCGACTCAGTGGTTCTCCTGCCACTGAACTGGAAGAGGGGAATCACTGAGGATTCACAGGAGGAGGTCAAAGGCCTCACGCACCAGCCGGGATGAGGAGTCTCCGAAAGAACACGGCCCGGCGGCGAGGAGGGCTCCCATCCTGGGCGTCTCTCTCCATTTTTTCACTTGAAAAATAAATCCCGCATTTGTTCACCCTGCGATTCTCCTGCACTGCATGAAAACCTTGTAAATGCTCTTTATGGGTCACCAACTAAAGTGCTCATAATGCTTCAGAGTGCACGCTTTAAGGAAAAGATTTAAAAATCTGATTTTAGAGTACTTTTCGCCACTTCCTGTCTTCAGGGAGCATACACATCACAATGAACCAGAGGTTCATTTCCTCTGAGATGACATTCATGTGACCACGTAAGTCCATAGTATGAGCTCTTACCAGATCCCAACAACAGCCCCGAGGACACCACCCAGTCCCTCTCCAATCAGTTTTGCAGTCCTGTGCAGGCAGTAGATGCTGTTTGATGTCTATGGCATTGTGACAGGCCTGGACAGTATGGGAAGATGACCAATCACGGGTTCACTGGGTAAACTAAAATGCTTTTGTTTACTCACCATTGTTAACCTATGTCAGATATTCAGTTACAACAAGTGATCCCTGTTTATCTTGCCAAATCAAGCTTGCTCTGGATCAGTGATTTAGTCCTGCTACTTAAACTCAGGGCCTGTGCCCTCCCTTGGCTTTTTTGCTCAAGGCTAGTGTACTAGGGCTTGAGACAGTTCCACTTCTGGATTTTGGGTGGTTAGATGGAGATGAAGAATCTTATGTGTTTTCTTACCTGGACTGGCTTTGAGTCACCAGTCTTAGACCTCAGCCTCCTGAGTAGCTAGGGTCACAGGCTGAGCCACTGGCACCCAGCTATCATCAATGATTTATTAATATCTGAATCTGGCCTGCTGGTTATTAAGACCAGTGTGTAAGCTACATTGTGCTACCCAGGATTCAAAGACATGGGTATGGTGGAGCTCTAGAAGTCTAACTATACAGAGGGACTGACATGGAAGGGCCGCTTGCACCCACCACGGCCTCATGGGTGACATGAGATCCATCCTCAAAAATAAAATGAAACTCTGACTGTAGAGGAAATGTGTTACCTGCCTCCCATATATTCGAATGCCTGGTATTCTGTAAGAGAATACTAAAAGGCCAGGGCAGCAGGTGAGGGCGGCCGTCTCCGGGCTGGACCGCCCAAGTTCCAACTGCTGAAACACTTACTAGACTAGGCACCAAATTAACTGGTGAAGTAGCTGTCAAAATTTCACCTTAGGATGCATATTAAAGGCAACCTAAATAGAAAGTCAGATATCTAACAAAAGTTTGAAAGTTGTTAAGGCCAAACTGGATGCTGGTGGCTCATGCCTGTAATCCTAGCTACTCAGGAGACTAAGATCTGAGGATCTGGCTTCAAAGATAGCCAGGGCAAGAGAGTCTATGAGACTCTAACCTCCAAATAACCAGCAACAGTCTGGATGTGGCAGCATGGCTCAAGTGGTAGAATGCCAACCTTCAGCAAAAATCAAGAAAACAAAAACCAACAACGAAGGGAGAGCACAGGCCCTGGGTTCAAGCTCTAGTACAGAGATGTGTGGGTGTGTGCGCACAGACACAGACGCAGAGTCCATAGGCCTTTTACATGAAAGAACATAAATCTGTTCTCCAGGGTTTGTGACTTTGCCTTCGGGCTTCTTCAAGCCTTCACTTGTACGGGAGAGGGGAGTTTGTGCCTCTTCGTAACCACTCCTCTGTAACTCCTTTTTACCTGTTACCTCCAGCAAGCTACAATTCTTTCCCAGCATGCACTAAAATTCAGACTGTTGTTCTCACTGAGGTCTAAACTCACACTGATTCCCATCTAAGTAAAAGAAACTTTTTATTATTTTAGTTTTTCTGTAGGCTGAATTTAGCTTACATAAGTTATAATTACAGAAAATTAGTGTACTTATTGGAAATTATATGATATTAACTATATATTAACTTTTTCTTACAGACTTGAAGATGTTAATAAAAACCGTTCTTTTGGAGTAATAACCTATGTAATATGAATTCTGATGCTTGAATTGTTTTGTACCAGTCCTGGGGCTTGAACTGAGTGCTGTCTCTGAGCTTCTTCAAAGGCTAGTGCTCTACCACTTAGACCACAGAGCGACTTCTGGCTTTCTGAGTAGTTTACTGGAGATAAGATTTCTCACAGACTTTTCTACCTGGGCTGGCTTTGAACCATATTCCTTGAATCTCAGCCTCCTGAGTAGTTAGGATGACAGGTGACACCCACCAGCACCTGACCTGGGGCTTGAACTCAGGGCCTGGCCACTGTCCCTGAGCTTCTTTTGCTCAAGGCTAGCACTCTACCACTTGAGCCACGACACCACTTCTGGCTTTTTCTGTGTATGTGGTACTGAGAACTGAACCCAGGACATCACGCATGGTAGGCAAGCACTCTACCACTAAACCACATTCCCAACCCAGGAAATTTATTTATTTATTTATTTTTTGGGTCCGGTCGTGGGCCTGAACTCTGGGCCTGGGCACTGTCCCTCAGCTCTTCAGCTCAAGGCTAGCGCTCTACCACTTGAGCCACAGCGCCACTTCCGGCTTTTTTCTTTCTGCTTATGTGGTGCTGAGGAATCGAACCCAGGGCCTCATGCATGCAAGGCAAGCGCTGTACCACTGAGCCACCTTCCCAGCCCCCAGGAAATTTATTTGTATGTGTCCTTAAGAACTTGTTTCATTCTTTTCTAAGAATGTGTTTTAATAATGACAATGAATCGGCCTACCCACGGCAGGCCTACTGCCACTCCACCTATCAGTGCTTCTTACATGCTAATGTATGTGTCAAGCAGGCTTACCCGTTCTCCAGGATCGTAGAGGATCACAGAGGCGTGCCAAGCAGCGCCTACCCAGGGTCACTCGGAAGGAAGGAGGGTACGAGGCAGGTCCAGATGTGGCCACTTGCTTCCATTTCAGAGTGTGTACGTGCCGAGAAGGGGGAGGGAGGACCCAGCTTCTTCCTGCCACCCAATGAGAGGCACCACTGGTGCCTCTTGACTTTCTACTAGATAGCTTAGACTGAGGAGACACGATTTCCTCAGAACATATGATGAGAACACCAGGCGTGTGCTTACGAAAGGGAAACCTACAAACAAGTACTCCTGTATCATCCTCTTTGAAATGTAAAGATTAAATACCCTAACAGGGTTTAATTCTACTTCTTGTTCTAGGTCAGTGATGCCACCCCAAGATTTATATAATTAATTTTAGCCTCATCACAGATGAGGTCATGCAGGGGTGGGGCAGGATACTAACACAATGTGACTAGTGTCCTTGCAAAAAGATAAATATTAGCAAGGTATTAGTAGCTCATACTGGTAATCCTAGCTACTTGGAGATCGGAGGATTTAACACTAGCCAGGGCAAAAAAAAAAAAAAAAAAAAGTGCATGAGACTCTCCAATCAACTACTAAAAAGCTGGAATTGGCACTGTGGCTCAAAGTGGTAGAGCACTAGCCTTGAGCAAAAGCCCAGGGACAGCATCCAGGCCCGGTGCCCAGCCAGATCAAGCTCCAAGACTGTCACCAAAAATAGTTAAATTTAGAGACAGCACATGAAGATAAAGATTAGAATAAATCATCTACAAGCCAAAAAATGTCAGACAACCTCCAGTCAGAGGGAGGTCTGAGATGGATTCTTCCCATAGTCTCAGCTGGAACCAAACCTGAGATGCCTGTATCTCAGGTTTGTCTCCAGAGCTGACAGACCATACATTTCTTTGCTGAGTCTATGGTATTTTTTGCTATGACAATCTTAGCAAACCAGCCAAATACGCAGAACTAAACAAGCCACATAAGACACATTCCCTGACTTCATTCCAAGGGTAAATAAAGACAGGAACCGGAAGAACTCTCGCCACCAAACATTCACACACCAAAGTTTCCAGAGAGAATTACCACTGTTCCTTCACTGGAAGTTTATTTGCTCAGCTAATTAAGGCCATGCTGCCCTCATCTCAAGGACCCTCCTGCCCTTGATTCACACACACTTTCCCAAAGGCTTTGAACAGCTGAGATTTCTTCCACATGGAAATGACTCCGAATATTGACGCACAGACTAAGGGGGGCAGGCTCAGTATCTGTATTTCGTGGAGTAGTCCTTGGGAGAGACCACCAATCCCCGTCCTTTGCGGGCACCACGGTACACGGTCTCTATGATGTCCACCATCTCCTGCTTGTCTTCCATGGCCCAATTAATTTTGTTGTTGTTGCCAGTGCCCAAATCAATCATGATGTGTTTGTTCCTGAAAAAGAAAAGGGAGACCAATCTTACAGGAAGAATTCCACAAAGTACCATTTTTCCTGCTGTCCCAAGCTCCTGTTGGCATGATTTAAGGACATGCATAAGCAAGGGGAGAGAAGGACACAACCTAAATGCTACTTCTGAAAATGCAATCCTGTGACCCCCAGCTCATGTCCTCTGGATAGATGTCCTGAAAGATAAAGGACAGAGTTTTGTCCTTTGGAAAGAAAGGCACATAATTTTCCAGAGTTGTACTAATTTTCCTTAAAAGCAATTTGTGAGTTTTTCATGTTATACTCTCAAGCACTTAGTACAAATTTTACTAAAAGCCTCACCCCTTTGAAATGAGAATGACAACTTCTACCTATGTGACCAGGAAACAGATGATCCTTTAGATGCTTCTCTTTCAAGAGGCTAGAAATCTGTACTTGCACTTGCCACAGTAAAGATGCTATCGGTCCATTGTACCTATAGGACTTATTCTTGGTTTGCTGAAGATCAATTTTTGTTAGGTTAACTTTTTATTTTTACAGGATCACATATTTGGCTTCAACCCTATTCCAGACAGGGTTCTATGTGGGACCTCTGTGCTTAGCAGCCTAAAGGCTAATCAAGAGAACTCTTCTGGGTCACGTTTTGCTTTTAAGATAACCTCTAACAGCGAGATTCCCAGAATAGGGATATGCAGTCCCTCCTACCACTTTTAATGTGTCAGCTCTGCTCTACAACTCATCCCCCGTATTTTTGGTGCCAATCTCTCAATAGAGAACATGACTTCTTTTATGTATTCTTTTTTTTTTTTGGGTCCGGTCTTGGGGCCTGAACTCTGGGCCTGGGCGCTGTCCCTCAGCTCTTCAGCTCAAGGCGAGCACTCTACCACTTGAGCCACAGCTCCACTTCCGGCTTTTTTCTTATGTGGTGCTGAGGAATCGAACCCAGGGCCTCGAGCATGCAAGGCAAGTGCTCTACCACTGAGCCACCTTCCCAGCCCCTTTTATGTATTCTTACAGCCCTGTGTGATTGAAGATAGGCTTTTTCAGCCGTTGTGTCTGTCTAAATAAGTGTCCTCTAGATTTCTATAACTGCTTATTGCTTAGCTGTTCCTTTCATTACGTGGTTGTATGAGAACAGGATCTCATCTTATGCCCCAGCACCACACACTGAGGAGCCTATTATGCTCTCAATGTACATATTTGATCCATAAAGTGCCCTGGACATTCTTGCAACTTGACCTAGAATTCTGGGTCACTGTTTAATACAAGTTCGACATCAGTCACAATGAGGCTTCTCAAAGCTGTTCCCTACAATCTCCTTGCCACTGCAACATCTCTAGCTCTAAAGACATTCCTCTATTACTTAGAGAGGAGCCTGCTTCTCAAATGCAAGAGAGGGGATCCTTGATACATGGAAAACAAGGACACGCTCCTGCAGCTATGAGAAAAGCTGGACTTGCAGATAACAAACCTGAGGAAAGTTCCAAGCAAAGTCTTCGAAGGTGCTACATAGTAAAAATGGGAGGAAAGAGAGACAAAATGGCATGTGAAATGTTAGTAAGAGGGCTGGGAATATGGCTCAGTGGTAGAGTGCTTGCTTAGCATGCATGAAGCCTTGGGTTCGATTCCTTAGTGCCAAGTAAACAGAAAAAGCCAGAAGTGGCACTATGGCTCAAGTGGTAAGAGTGTTAACCTTGAGCAAAAGAAGCCCAGGGACAGTGCCCAGGCCCTGAGTTCAAGCCCTGGGACTGGCAAAAAAAAAAAAAAAAAAATTAAAAATAAATTAGTAAGAATACATTCTCAGCTTCTACAAAGGATGAGGTGCTGAAATTCAGAAATGACTACTGATTGCGTAGAAACAACAAAACTTGGACAGTTTCATACTGAAACCTGTAAGAACAGAGAGAGCACTCAGTTAAAGCAGATGAAGGGTATGCCTCAGTCTTCTCACTAGCAGGGGTCCTTGAAGTATCATCGAGGGAGACTATCCTTTCTGTCTGAAACTGAAGGACAGAGAGGACCAGGAAAAAGAAGGAACGGCCGGGGCTGGGACGCGGCTCAGTGGTACAGTGCTTGCCTTGCATGCATGAGGCCCTGAGTTCAATTCCTCAGCACCACATAAGCAAAAAGAAAAAAGCCGGAAGTGGCGCTGTGGCTCAAGTGGTAGAGCGCTAGCCTTGAGCTGAAGAGCTGAGGGACAGCGCCCAGGCCCAGAGTTCAGGCCCCAAGACCGGACCCCAAAAAAAAAAAAAAAAAAAAAAGAGAGAGAGAGAGAATGTCAAAAGAATACCCTCACTGATTCTGTTTGTGAAAGTGGAGGAACCTCTTAAGAAAAGTGTGGCCATGCTGACAGGAGAAAGAAGAGAGGAAGGAAAGAGACCGTGGACAGATTCATAAGGTGAGTAGTCACATTTGGCTGAGAGCCTCAATGCAGCAAAGCAGACTCAAGCACACAGACCTCAACTTAGGCCTGAACCTTACAAGACCTTGCATCAGGAACTATGAACTCATAAACGGCACTGGTTTATGCTGCCATATCTGCAAAAAAGAAAGTTGACACACATGGCTACCACCTACCCAGATCTTCCTTCGCATTTAGGAGCCGTGCTCTAGAAGGTAGCCCAATACCCATATTGCTATGTACCAACTATCTAGAATCTTGACAAATAAGGGCAAGGTCAAATGGTGATCTCTTTCTAAGTTGAATCCATACATTTGAATTTTTGAGCTGATAATCTTGTATTTATAACCAAAGTAAAGTTGAGGCTTTCTTTTGGCACTTATAAAAGACATCAAATAAAGTTAATGACATCACACTTAATGTGTGAGTTATCTTAAGGCAATTTTCATCAGTAGGCTGGTTATACTTAAAGGTTTGGGAGTAGTTATTTAAAAAGTAATTTGTTACTGAGTAAATGCTAAAATGGGAACCGTTACTCTGAAAATTATTTCAAAGATTCATACTGCCTTGTGATAAAATCTGCGTTGTGGTAAGACTGCATGGATTGACTTCTAAATGATAAAAGAATCTGTCCCATCAGACTTCCAAAGAAGCAATACCCCCATTTTAATAACAGCTTTAAAATAACATACCTGAAGAAAAACATGACAGTACATGGATCATATAACTCATACATTTTGTTGAAGTCAGGTACTTCTGTAATATCCACAAGATAAATAACTGCAAAATTTTTAACCTAAAAATAAAGGAGATTTAAGAAATAACCTAAAAACAGACTTATTTGGCTTTCATAACATAAAAGCAAACTGAAACAATAAAATAATTTGCATAAACTAAACAATTTTTACAAAGCAATCCAAAAACTTTTGCCCACAGAGCTGACACACAGATAAAAAAACAGTACATCATCAAGATCCTGTTTACAACTAGGAAGTTATGAAAGTCTTGCAGAAAACACTCAAAGGTGTATTTTACATGCTGACCAGTACAAATACTCATTACATGGGATGCTAGCAGTATCCCCAGTCCTCTACAAATGTGAGTTCTTCCCTTCCTTCCTCCCTCCTCTTTTTTCTTTTTTTGTTCTAAGTACTGGGGCTTGAACTCAGCCCCTTACTCTCACTTTCTTTTGCCCACAAATGCAGGTCCAGGTTTTTGCTGGTTAACTGAAGATTTAAGAGTCTCACATCATTTGTCTCCCCTGGCAAACAATATTTAACAAGTCATATTTACTGAGTCATCTTAAAGCAGATCTCAGTCTCCTGAGTAGCTAGATGTGAACCATTGGTGCCCAGCTCTGTAAGTTAACTACAAGTTCATCAAAGAAATTCAGAGAAAACAGAGTAATTTTAAAAGAGATTAAGTCATCTCCAATCTCACACTTAAAGCAACTGCTGCTAATATTTTTGCTGTATTCTGTCCTTTTATCCGGGCGTACTTAAGAAAATCTATACTGTTTTAACAAAGTGGGATCATACCATGTTTTGAATCAGGTTTAATGATACAAATTACCTATTTTCTGGGCCAGACATGATGACTCATGACTGTAATTCCAGCTCTTTAGGAAGCAAGGATAGGAGGATTGCAGTTTGAGGTCAGAATAGTTAGCAAGGAAAAAAAAGCCAGGTATGGTAGTGCATGGCTGTAATTGCAGCTACTCAGAGGCAAAATGGGGCAGGGCATAAAGCCCTGGGCTCCGTTCCTCAGCACCACATACACAGATCAGGCCAGAAGCGGCACTGTGGCACAAGTGCTAGAGTCCTAGCCTTGTGCAAAACAAGTTCAGGGACAGTGCCCAGTTCAAGTCACAGGAAGATGAGGCTCAAGGCTGGCCTTGGCAAAAGTATGAAACTGATCCGAGAAACCAATTAAAGTAAAAGAGCTGGGAACCTCCTCCATTGCTGTGGCACTTGCCTAGCAAGTGGGAGGCCCTCAACTCAAGCTCTAGTACTGCTCAAAACAGAAAAGAATTATTTACCTATTTTCCAGAAAAAACAACAACATATGGCTGTGTATTATCCCGTCAAATAAGTATGACACTATTTTACCATTCTGTTTTTCCTTCCCTGATTTTTTATGAGTACCACTCACCTGTGTACATTCGTACCTTAAAATGTGTACATACACCATTTCCTAAGGATGTATCTTAAAACTACCATCTCAGGGACAGAATCCTCAGCAACACCGTCTAGCCCACATCTACCTACACGTGATGGGTGGAACTATGTTCCCCAGGAGATCTGAAGTGCCTGGGAAAGAGCACCACTACAGGTTAAATGATTTAGGGTTACACGAGGTGCACTTGCTCTCCTGACACAGAGGCCCAGTTACAAGAAGAACTGAAGGATGCACCTACCCATCAGCTAAGGAAACCAGAGGTGGCCAGCCACCACCACAAGTCAGAGGAGGTCCAGGATCAAAAGGACTGTGTTCCTACAAACATCTGAACTTGGGATTTCTGGTTTCCAGAACTATGAAATCATAAATTCCTGTCACTGGGAGCCCCTCAGAGGGTTGTATTTTCTATGGCTGCTGCAGGAAACCAACACAACACACATTTCTTTTGTTTTCTTTTTTTTTTTTTTTGGGGGGGGGGGTCCTGGGTTAAAACATAGGGCTTCATGCTTGCTAGCCAGACATTCTATCACTTAAGCCATACTCCTCACCTTTTGGCTTTAGCTCTTTTTCAGACAGGATCTCGTGATTTTGCTGGGAGCCAGCCTCTGCAATCACCTATTTATTTCTCTGTGTGACTGGGACACAGGTATATACCACCATGCCTAGTTTGTGGGTTGAGATGAAGGTCTTGCTAACTTTTTGACCAGCCTGACTCCAAACTGCAATCCTCCTGAACTTTGCCTCTCAAATAGTTGGGATTATAGCTGTGAGCCACAGTGCCTGGGCCATATATTTTTTTTTTAACACTTAGTAGGTCTGGTGGCTCATACCCATAATCCCAGCAACTTAGGAGTCTGAGGTATGAAGATTGCAGTTTGAAGCCAGCCTGAGCAGGAAAAGTCTGTGACACTCTTATCTCCAATTAGCCAACAAAAACCATGAGCAGAGCTATGGCTCAAGTGGCACAGTGCCAGCACTGAACAGAAAAAAAAAAAAAAAAAAGCTCAAGAGTAGTATCCAGACTCCAAGTTCAAGCCCCAGGATCAGCACTAAATAAATAAATACATAACTATTCAATCATACTTGCTGTCCTGAGGATTATAGCTCAGTAGCTTTTGAGCTTTACGACTGGACTAAGGGCTCAATAAACAACAGCCTGTTAAAACCATCATATGCTCCTATCACTGGACATTCAGACTGTTTCCAACCTTGCTAGAAACTACAAGTACTTCTCACTGAGCATAAAGCTATGCATAACTGTCCCTTCCCCCAAGAGAGGAGAGTTTCTGGGCCCTAAGGCATGACTATTCTTTTTGTGCTGGTCCAAAGGCTTGAGTTCAGCGCCTGGGCTCTGTCCCTGAGCTTTTTTGCTCAAGGCTGGCACTCTACCATGTAACCACAGCTCTTACTTCCAGCGTTCTGGTAGCTAATTACAGATAAGAGACTCATGGACTTTCCTGAGTGGCTGACTTCTTCAAATCAAGCTCCTTCGATCTCCGCTTCCTGCATAGTTATGATTACAGACATGAGCCCCTGGTGCCCGGCAATGTGGTCATTCTTGATGCCAAACTGCTCTGCAAAAAGACTCCATCCAGGGGCTGGGAAGGTGGCTCAGTGGTAGAGCGCTTGCCTTGCATGCATGAGGCCCTGGGTTCAATTCCTCAGCACCACATAAGCAAAAAGAAAAAAGCCGCAAGTGTCGCTGTGGCTCAAGTGGTAGAGCGCTAGCCTTGAGCTGAAGAGCTGAGGGACAGCGCCCAGGCCCAGAGTTCAGGCCCCACGACCGGACCCAAAAAAAAGAAAAAAAAAAAAAAAAGACTCCATCCATCTCCTCAATGAACATTGCATTAGCTCACTGCTATTAAATGTCCTTCAATCCTTTTTTTTTTTGAGGGGGGGGGGGGTCATGGGCCTGGGCGCTGTCCCTCAGCTCTTCAGCTCAAGGCTAGTGCCCTACTACTTGAGCCACAGCGCAACTTCTGGCTTTTTCTGCTTATGTGGTGCTGAGGAATTGAACCCAGGGCCTCATGCATGCAAGGCAAGCCCTCTACCACTGAGCCAAATTCCCAGCCCAACAAACTGTATTTCTACAAAATGGAAAAACAGTCCAAAAAGTTTTTTTTTTCTTCAAAACTGCATGAAATTGCTTCACACAAAACTTATGAAGCTCTACATATCTGTAAAACTTTTAAGCATATCAACTTTCAGATTAACTTCCTTCATTAAGTATTCAGCTCAAAAGTAGTCTAGCAAGCCGGGCGCTGGTGGCTCACGCCTGTAATCCTAGCTATCTCAGGAGGCTGAGATCTAAGGATCGCGGTTCAAAGCCAGCCTGGGCAGGAGAGACTGTGAGACTCCTATCTCCAGTAAACCACCAGAAAACCGGAAGTGGCGCTGTAGCTCAAGTGGTAGAGCGCTTGCCTTGAGCTGAAGAGCTGAGGGACAGCGCCCAGGCCCAGAGTTCAAGCCCCACGACCGACAAAAAAAAAAAAAAAAAAAGTAGTCTAGCAAGAGGTGGGGTAGGCAGCAACAGAGAACAAAGTGATAAAGACATTCAAAGATAAACAGGTTACTTAAATCCAGCCTGAACACGGGGAACTTTTACTCACTTTAAAACAGCAAGAATATCCAAACAGGGCTCCTAGCAAGACGAGGAAGATACTCCACTATCTGCTAATTCTGCAGAGGGAGGCTTTTAAATAATTATACTGTTTCTTTATGCTACAACCTTAAGTTATGAAAATTTCCATTGAACTTCACCAAAAAGGTTTCTCCTCTTTATATTAAGAAAATTAAACATTAATAGCCCCTTAATGCACTTCAAGCTTGCATTTTTAGTAACTACGCTGTAACACAGCATTAAAATTTTTTAAATTAATCCCAGGCTAGGACTGTGGCTCAAAAAGTATAGCATCTGTGTCCATCAAATTAGGAGATCTGAGTTCAAACTCTTCTACTGCCCCTCAAAATAAATACATAAATCAGGCATTAGGGCCTCATGCCTGTAATCCTACTCAGAAGGCTGAGATCTGAGAATTCTGGTTCGAACCAGCCGGGGCAGAAAAGTCCCTGTGACACTCTTATCTCCAATTAACCACCAAAAATAAACCGAAGCAGAGCTGGTTCAAAGTGGCAGAGCGCACTGGCTTTAACATCCAGGCCCTGAGTTCAAGCCTCAGGACAAAAACAAAGTAATCCAAATTTTGGATTAAACAGTAATTTCATTTTTTTTTTTTTGGTCCGGTTGTGGGGCCTGAACTCTGGGCCTGAGCACTGTCCCTCAGCTCTTCAGCTCAAGGCTAGCACTCTACCACTTGAGCCACAGCGCCACTTCCGGCTTTTTCTGGTTATGTGGTGCTGAGGAATTGAACCCAGGGCCTCATGCATGCAAGGCAAGCACTCTACCACTGAGCCACCTTCCCAGCCAAGAAAATAATTTTAAAAGCCTAATTAATACGATCAATATCCAATAAAGTATGAGTCCACTGAGGAAAACAAAACAGATTAGGAAAGAGAACAATCTGGTGAAATCCCTAAACACATGAACACATATGAAATCTGCTTCCTAGCTAAGAGCCTCCTGCTGAGCTCCACTTAGTCTAAAGCAAAGGCCCTCACATTTCTGGCCGCCCAGCAGAGGAGACCGCACCAGTCTCACGTCACCACCTGCAAAGTAGAATAGCGATAAATTCTAGAACACATGTTCCAAGTCAAGTCAAAGTCCATATACCAGTGACTTGCTTTTGGTAGTTCTTCACTTTGTCCTTGTCCACTATGGCTTCAGAAATACAGAAACAATTCCTGAACTACCTCAGGCAGCACCTCTAGCCCCTGGCTGACAGAGCACCCCAGGCAGAGAATGCTGTCTGGATCCACAGGTGCCTCCTTACTGTCTGGGGCCTACGAGAGAGGATGAGAGGTAGCTGATAACACAAACACCACTACAGCAGCCCTGACTTCCACCCAGCACTTCCTGAAAGCGAGGCCTGGGGTCAGGCCACCAGAATTCTCTCAGACACTTCTTTTTAAACTATTTTTTATTTCATAGTTGTAAAAAAGGATTTCAAGCCGGGCTCTGGTGGCTCATGCCTGTAATCCTAGCCACTCAGGAGGCTGAGATCTGAGGATCGTGGTTCAAAGCCAGCCTGGGCAGGAAAGGCTGTGACTCTTATCTCCAATAGACCACTCAGAAAACCAGAAATGGAGCTGTGGCTCAAGTGGTAGAGTGCTTGCCTTGAGCTGAAGAGCTGAGGGGCAGAGCCTCGGCCCTGAGTTCAAACCCCATGACCAACCTAGATAAATAAATAAATAAATAAATAAATAAGGATTTCAAGCCAGGTTATGAGTACAATGCATCTGTTTTGTTTGGTTGTGCTGATCTCCAATTTAGGGTCTGGGTGCTGCCCCTGAGCTTTTGTGCTCAAAACTAGTACTCTGACCACCTGAGTCACAGCTCTCCACTTCTGGATTTCTTTTCTGTGGTAGTTAATTGGAGATAAGAATCTCAAGGACTTCCTGCCCTGGCTGAGCAGCCAAGATTATAGGTGTGAGCCACCAGGGCTGGGCTTACAATGCCTGGTGATTCTCCCCCATCTTTCCCTAGGCCTACCCTCAAGTTACATAGTTCAATTCTTACTGTTATTTTGTTTTTTTGTCAGTCATGGGGCTTGAACACTGGGCCTGGGCACTATCCGAGCTCCTCCACTCAGGCAAGTACTCTACCACTTGAGCCACAGTGCCACTTCTGAGTAGCTAGGATTACAGATATGAGCCACCGGTGCACTGTTGGCTCCCTCTCCTGCTGAGCAGCTCTGTAATGAGCTTTTCTGAGCCAGGGGTCCAAAGGCTCAGACTGATAATGGGAGACAGTTGGAAGATAGTTGGAAGCCAGTTCAGGCAGTAAAGTTTGGAAAATTCCCTCACAACCCATAGCCAGATACAGTGGCACACACTTATCATCTTAATCTACATGGGAAACTGAGATTATGAGAGCAGTTCCAGGCCAGCCCAGACAGAGAAAACCAAGAGAGTCCATCTCAACAGAGGACACTGGACATGGCGGCACACACCTTCCATCCCACCAACAACTGAACGCCTATGTCCAGAAGCCAGACCTGGGCAGAAAGCAAGCCCTATGTCAAAAATAACCAGTGAAAAACATGGCTCAGAAGTAGAACATCTGCCTAACAAGTACAAGGCCCTAAGTTCAAACCCACTACCACAAAACAAAACATCTTTCTGTGGCTCCTCCTAGACCAGCAGCACCAGAATCTCTGAAATACACTGCAGAAACACTCCAAAAGACAGCACCTTGAGGAGTTTCCTTTTCTAAACACCGTCATATGTTCTTAGTAATTCCTGAAGAATTACTTTAACCTAACCAACATCAGCCATCTGTGAGATGGAAAAGAAAAAGAGCTGCTTCAGAGTTTACTCTTCCCTAAAATAAATAAGTTCTATGGAAGGGGAAGTGTGGCTCAATTGGTAGCCTATCAGCCTTGGCCAAAAAAGCTAAGCAAGAGCACATGGCCCTGAGTTCAAGCTCCAATACCACACAGGAAAAAAATGAACAGTGAAATTACTTACAGAATAAAAATGTTATTAACCCTTCACTATCTTTGCCTTTTGACCTATTCCTACAGCAGCAAACACCTAATAATATTGTAAAACTGCCAGAAAGAATTTATAAGAGCCAGGTGCGAATGGCTCTCCTAATGACTCACAAAGCTGAAATCTGAGGATCAAGGTTTGAAGCTAGCCTGGGCAGAAAAGTACATGTCTCTTATCTTCAATTAACCAGCAAAAAGCTGGAAGTGTAGTGTGGTTCAAGTGGTAGAGCACCAGCCTTAAGCAAAAAAGCTCAGGTGTCCAGGCCGAGTTCACTTCAATTCACAGTACTGGCACAAAAAAAAAAAAGGAAAACAGGCCTGGTGGCTCACTCCTGTAATCCTAGCTACTCAGAAGGCTGAGATCTAAGGATTGTGGTTCAAAGCCAACCCAGGCAGGAAAGTCTGAGAGACTCTTATCTCCAATAAACCACCAGAAAACCAGAAGTGACGCTGTGGCTCAAGTAAGTGGTAGGGTGGGCACTATCCCTGAGCTTCATTTGCTCAAAGCTAGCACTCTACCACTTGAGCCACAGCACCACTTCCAGCATTTTCTGTTTATGTGGTAGTGAGGAATCGAACCCAGGGCTTCATGCATGCTGGGCAAGCACTCTACCACTAAGCCACCTTCCCAGCCCCCAAGAATAAAATCCTTGTTGGAGAACCCAGGACTCCAAGGTGAGCACTCTACCACATGAATTATATGCCTTCCTTCCTTCCATTTCCCTCTCTCCCTCCCTCCCTTCCTTCCTTCTATTTCCCTCTCTCCCTCCCTCCCTTCCTTCCATTTTAAGGAGTTCTAAAAAGAAGTTTCAACTTGGCATGTCAGATTGTAAGTACACCTTTCCATCATTCTCCAAGTCTCACAGCTACCTTTGCCTGCCCTCAAACCCCTGATCTTTTTGCTTCGAAAGCAGCTGCGATTACACACCTGTAAGGTCGTCCTCGGTTCCCAACTGCACTTTATTGGCAGACAAGTGTCATAGCTGACCCAGAGTACTATGAAACATTAAAAAAGATAGTTCTGGGGCTGGGAGGGTGGCTCAGTGGTAGAGTGCTTGCCTTGCATGCATGAGGCCCTGGGTTCGATTCCTCAGCACCACATAAGCAAAAAGAAAAAAGCCGGAAGTGGCGCTGTGGCTCAAGTGGTAGAGCGCTAGCCTTGAGCTGAAGAGCTGAGGGACAGCGCCCAGGCCCAGAGTTCAGGCCCCACGACCGACAAAAAATAAAAAAAAAAACATGAACGTAATTCGACTTTCTCTTAATATTTAATCGTTCCAACAGACAAATTACTTACAAGGGGTGTGGAAGGGTAAGGAGTGGCGGTCCCTCCTTATAATAATCCCAGCACTGGGAGACTGAAACAGGGGTCCTCAGTTTAAGGTCAGCTCTGGCGCCTCGCACGTAGCCCCGCCCCTTCCACGCCCCCAAAAATCATTTACCACGTTAGCACCTAAAAGTTCTGCTGTGCAGACACCCCAAGTGCCCACCCCCAGCCAAGGGGCACGCCGCCGGAGTAAGGCCCTCTGCACCGAGACCGTTCCAGACGCTCGGCCCAGGCGGCGCAGCCCGCGCGCCCGCGTCTGAAGCCGGGCACGGGCACTCCAGTGCCCGGCAGGACTCGCTACTTATTCGGGGACCGGGCTCACGAATCTCTCAAAGGTAAGGAGAGACCCGGCCCTGCATCGCGAGCCCGGGGCAGGGCCGAGGGCCACGCCGGCGCCGGTGGCGGAGCGCCGGAGGGCCGCGCCTCCCGCCGCCGCTGCGGGTCGGAGCCCGCGCCTCCCGCGCCTCCCGCCACCGCTGCGGGTCGGAGCCCGCGCCTCCCGCGCCTCCCGCCACCGCTGCGGGTCGGAGCCCGCGCCTCCCGCGCCTCCCGGAGGCCGCCGCTGCGGGTCGGAGCCCGCGCCTCCCGCGCCTCCCGCGCCTCCCGCCACCGCTGCGGGTCGGAGCCCGCGCCTTCCGCCGCCGCTGCGGGTCGGAGCCCGCGCCTTCCGCCGCCGCTGCGGGTCGGAGCCCGCGCCTCCCGCGCCTCCCGCCACCGCTGCGGGTCGGAGCCCGCGCCTCCCGCGCCTCCCGCCACCGCTGCGGGTCGGAGCCCGCGCCTCCCGCGCCTCCCGCGCCTCCCGCCACCGCTGCGGGTCGGAGCCCGCGCTCCCGCGCACGCGCCGCGCGCCCGGCCGGCGCCCAGCTACCTTCTCGGCTATGCTGTACAGAACCTCGTCCATCTTCATGCAGGTGGGGTCCCAGTCGTGTCCGAACCGAATGACCACCACGCGGTCCTCCTCCGACAGGATGGCCTGGTCCACCTGCCAGCCGTTGTGCAGGTGCGGGAGCATGTACGACATCCTGACGCGGCCCGACGCCTCGGGCGGCCGGGGCCGCCCCGCCGGCTCCCCGCGCACCGCCCCCGGCCCCGCTCCCGCTCCCGCTCCCGGCCGCCGAGGCCCGGTAGTCAGCCACGGGCCAAACCAGCGCCGCCCGCGCAGCGGGTCCTCGGGGCGCGCGTGCTGACGACATCCGCACGCGCCGACGCGCGCGTGCGCGCTGACGACCCCGCGAGCGCAGGCGCCGTCGGGTGGAGTCCCGCAGCCGCGCGGCGCCGTCGGGTGGAGTCCCGCAGCCGCGCGGCGCCGTCGGGTGGAGTCCCGCAGCCGCACGGCGCCCGCGTTTCCTCCAGAAGCGGCTCTTCACCGGGTCCGCCGCTGCCGCCTCCGCCGCCGCCGCCCTGCTCCCTCCGGTCTCGGCCTCCCGCCTCGCGCGCCTCGGGAGTCCCGGAGGCTCAGCGGAGCCGCTGCACCGCCGCAGGTGACGGACGGGCTGGGGCGGGCCTTCGGGAGGGCGGCGGCGGGGTCGAGGCCCGGGCCTGCACCCCGACCCCGGGCCTCCACCCCCACCCCGGGCCTCCACCCCCACCCCGGGCCTCCACCCCCACCCCGGGCCTGCACCCCCACCCCGGGCCTGCACCCCCACCCCGGGCCTCCACCCCCACCCCGGGCCTCCACCCCCACCCCGGGCCTCCACCCCCACCCCGGGCCTGCACCCCCACCCCGGGCCTCCACCCCCACCCCGGGCCTCCACCCCCACCCCGGGCCTCCACCCCCACCCCGGGCCTGCACCCCCACCCCGGGCCTCCACCCCCACCCCGGGCCTGCACCCCGACCCCGGGCCTCCACCCCCACCCCGGGCCTCCACCCCCACCCCGGGCCTGCACCCCCACCCCGGGCCTCCACCCCGACCCCGGGCCTCCACCCCGACCCCGGGCCTCCACCCCCACCCCGGGCCTCCACTCCGACCCCGGGCTTGCACCACAACCCCGGGCCTCCACCCCGACCCCGGGCCTGCACCCCCACCCCGGGCCTCCACCCCCACCCCGGGCCTGCACCCGACACCCGGCCTCCACCCCGACCCTCGGGCCTGCACCCCGACCCCGGGCCTCCACCCCGACCCCGGGACAGGGGCCAAGCCTCCGGCCCTGCATCCCGACCCCCGGGACCGGCGGCAGAGACCCCGGCCTCCACCCCGAGCCCCAGGAAGCTGGCCCACGGGGACCCCGGCCCGCTGCTCGTGGACAGCCCGTCTGTGTGCCCTGTTCTCAGACAGCTGTTAGCAGTTCCTTAGCACCAGTGTTCCTGTTCCAAGCTAAGACACAAGTCCAAGGTCCCCAATAGTCTATCTCAACTAGTTGTTTCGTTTTCTTTTTAAAACGTTGTTTCTAGTGAGACGTTGTATGCCCAGTCTGGCCTCCAGCTCTCTGATCTGTCAGGCCTGGACCATCAAAACCCCCACTTTACTTTTGCTCCCCTTTGTGGCTTCTGTTTTCTTTCTTTCTTTTTAGATTCCTTATTTTTGTTATATGAGATTCCATGACCAAACTTTAGTCAGGCTCCTGAGTCTACTCCTAGGCCTTTCTGTACACTTCCCTATAAAACCTGGTTTGTAGTGAAAACGCTGTAGGGCAGCTAGAATCATCCTGGCTCCCTGAGCAGACTTCTCTTCCTCGAGGATCCTGCAGGATTGCTGGAGATGTCTGGTCTCCCTGGCCCATTCTCATTAAACTCTCTTTCCCTGATGTGATCTCCTAGGCATTTTTCCATCAGTAGATCCCTTCCTTGCTCTTTAGCTATAGATACCTACTTTGTCTTGCTGTGTAGGGAGTTGAACTCACCCCCCCCCCCCCCCACATACACACACACCGTTGGGTTTGTTGTCACTTGCTGCCAGTTTCCTTCAACTGTCCCTGGTGTCAGCAGTAACCTTGTCCCTGCTCCTTTAAGTGTACTTGAATATCCTGAGCCATCATCCCATGGCAAGTGGTAAGACTGTGTTAGGCAACTTGGGGAATGTGCTCTTGAAAGGCCTTTGCTGTCTATTCCAGGTAACATGAACTGGTCCTGAGACCAATAATGGCCGTGCCTTTTTCACTGGGGCCCATGAGTTTTAGTCAAAAAATTTCTTTCTGTCTTATAGCAACAAATGAGCCCCTTTCCATGGAACAGCCCTGTGATCCAATTTGACTATAAGGTGGTTGCTCCTATACTTAATTGTGACACTTTTGCACTCTTGGGTATATGCAGGACCATGGACAACAGTCTCACTAGTAGCATGCACGGTGTCCCCAGCACGATGAATATACTAGCCACTAAGGAGGAAGCTTCCAGTTTAACCCCACCTGGATTACTTTGTATGCTGGAATGAAAGCCTGTGGTGTCTTCAGCAGTGGGAATTAATCATTCTGGCATGCAGCCATCTGCATCCACACGGGCTATATCCTATATGGTATAGTCTGAGCAGCCTCGTGGCCGACAGCTTACAGGACCGTGTCCCATGCCTGAAATGGGCTTCAGTTAACAACCTGATGGCTTTGAAAACATTTAAAGAAACAATGGATGTCACTTTATTTAAAATCTTTAGCTGTTGCTTTAAGTAGCTTGCTACTTCTGCAGCTATTTTTTATATTGGCTGTAATATTTTTATATCTCCTTAGTAGTTTGTATTTTTTTGGTATTAACCTCCCTGTGTGGGGTGAGCATTGTCACCCAGCCAGGTTTTACAGTCTACCTACCTTATCTCAGACACAGGGTACACCCAATTAGGACATGCAGGTTGTACCCTAAGAGCATATCTACCCACAGCACACTTTCTTCCTGGGGAGAAATAGAAACAATGTACTCCCAGGTAAACCTGGGTTTTTGTACATGTTTTGTTCTACTTTTGTATTTATCTGTAGCTGTTATCCTCTGTGTTTGGAATTGTTATGTTTGCCTTGGTGTCCACTAGTTCTATTATGACCTGTTCATTAATAGGGGACTAGTACATTTACAGTATAATGTGAGGTCTTCTATAAAAAATCATATTTTAATGTATCCTCATTGCTTTGCAGTTGGTACAATGCCATAAAAAGTGGACATAAGGGTTTTATACAATTGTTCTTGTTGGGCTGGGAAGGTAGTTCAGTGGTAGAGCGCTTGCCTTGCATGCCTGAGGCCCTGGGTTCAATTCCTCAGCACCACATAAGCAAAAAGAAAAAAGCCAGAAGTGGCCCTGTGGCTCAAGTGGTAGAGTGCTAGCCTTGAGCTGAAGAGCTGAGGGACAGTGCCCAGGCCCAGAGTTCAGGCCCCACGACCGGACCCAAAAACAAAAAAAAATTGTTCTTCTTATAAAACAAGTCTAATTGGAGAATAATATTGAACTCCAGGTTCCTGTTTATAGGCCAAAACTCCTCATAGGTGAATTTTATGAACCTATTAAAAAGAAACTTATCGAGGGGGTGGGCGGGGAGTGGAGGTGGGAGGGAAGGGATGGTAGGGGAAAAACAAAGGAGGAAGAAACAATGCTTGATAAGAAATGGACTCATTATCTTGCTCATGTAACTGTAACCCCTCTGTACAGTATTTTCACAATAAAAAACTTATTAAAAAAAAACCTTTTAAGTCCCTGTTCCTATCCCAAAGGTAACAAATTCTCTAAGAACCAAGACTGAGCTAATGGTGAAACCAGGACACACTTGTGACTTAAAACTTTTAACTATGCAGACCTTCCTCCCCTCAGCAGCCCGTGCTCCCTATTTAACTGGAGCCAATTCTGTATCCCTGAAGGCAGTGGAAGAAGTACTTACTGAAGAGCTGTCTTCTCATAGCTGCAATGGAATAAATCTTTCTCTTTTCTCTATCCTTCAGAAAAGAAACTTGAAGCCACCACTAATAAGTTGGTTACTAAACACACACACAAAACTGGTTGGCAGCTATTTAAAATTTGTAACCCAGTAGTACATGCCTATCATCTTAGCTACTTGGAATGCTGAGATCTGAAGATTTTGGTTTAAAGCCAGCCCAGGCAGGAAAGTTCACAAGACTTTATCTCCAATTAGCTAGCAAAAAATGCTGAACTGGAGGCATGGCTCAAGTTATAGAATGCCAGCAATGAATGAAAAAGCCAAATGAGAATGGAGAGCCCCAGGACTGGGGCTGGGAAGGTGGCTCAGTGGTAGAGCACTTGCCTTGCATGCCTGAGGCCCTGGGTTCGATTCCTCAGCACCACATAAGCAAAAAGAAAAAAGCCGGAAGTGGCGCTGTGGCTCAGGTGGTAGAGCGCTAGCCTTGAGCTGAAGAGCTGAGGGATAGTGCCCAGGCCCAGAGTTCAGGCCCCACGACCGGACCCAAAAAAAAAACAAAACATGAAGTCTGAAAATATATATCAAACTGTTACCTGAGTATAAATGACAATAAATAGTCTACCATTGCTGGGTGCCAGTGGCTCACTATAATCCTAGCTACTCAGGAGGCTGAGATCTAAGGATCATGGTTCAAATCCAGCCCAGGCAGAAAAGTCCCCTTGAGATTTATCTCCAGTGAACCACTCAAAAACCAGAAGTGCTGTGGATCAAATGGTAGAGCAATAGCCTTGAGCATGAAGAGGCACCGGCGCAGCATCCAGGCCCTGAGCTCAAACCCCACAATCAACTAAATAAAATTCTACCACTTACTGTAATACTAGGGTTTGAACTCAGGACCTTCCACCTACTAGGCAAATGCTCTACCACAGTCCTAATTCTACCTTTTTAAAAAATAAGGGGCTGGGAAGGTGGCTTAGTGGTAGAGTGCTTGCCAAGTATCATGAAGCCCTGGATTCGATTCCTCAGTACCACATACACAGAAAAAGTCGGGAGTGGTGCTATGCTATGGCTCAAGTGGTACAGTACTAGTCTTGAACCAAGAAAAGCTCAGGGACAGTGTCCAGGCCCTGAGTTCAAGACCCAGGGCTGGCAAAAAAAAAAAAGAATAAATGAAAGATTTCATCTTTAGATTATAACTAATATGTAAATATACAATTAAGAGTGGAGATGTAGCACAGTGGTAGAGTGCTTGCCTAATGTACACAAGACCCTGTACTACAAAAGAAAAA